GCAGCGCACCTGCTGCTGTTCATCATTCATCATGAACATTTTCTGATCTTAAGAATTTGGTTTCATTGCCTTGATCAATTTTATTTAATGGGTTAAAAAACCAACAAAATTATTATATTTCTACTACTATCAATAAATGTTTGATTTTATTCCAGATGGAAATGTTTTTCAGTCATATTTCCTCTGGTTCTGGTTCTGATTCTGAAGCTAGCGGTGCCGATATGGATTTAAAATTTATTGCAATATTTTGTAGTAACCAGAAGGAGAATCAGGTTCAGGTTCTGGTTCTGGTTCTGGTGTTGTTGTCTCGGAAGCAGAGGGATTCTTCACAAAATGAAGAATGTCTTCAGTGAGAGGCGTTTTCAGAGACCTCTGTAACACAGACTGCTAGAGGAGATCCTTCCTGCTCAGCCGTTTCCCTTTCGGGTTAATAAAGTGGATATTTGATTATTTTAACTGATACTCAGATTATTATTATTATTATTTCATTTTTATTGGTTTTGTTTTAGTTTAATAAATCCCGACCAGCTCTGTTGGGATTTTCTAGACTGAAAAAGTCCAGAAAAGGTTTGGTCTGACCCGGCAGCCGACAGAACCACTGGTTCTGAAACAGAAAACTCAGCGCTTCGGCTCCCAGACGTTTAGTTTCACCTGGAGGTCGACCTGATGGGGGTCAGAGGTCATCTGGGGTGGCGTCAGCATGAGGAGGGGGGACAGCAACAACAAAAACAATGAAAAGAGGAAGACCCGAATCAGCCGGAACTGACGCTCCGCTGCTTAGACTTCCTGTTTGCAGTGACAGATGGCAGGTCACTTCCTGTTTGCAGTGACAGATGGCAGGTCACTTCCTGTTTGCATTGACAGATGGCAGGTTGTTGCTGCCTGTTTCCTCCTGTCTCTCCTCAGGTTGCCTAGGTTACAGCCAGGTAAGCAGGAAGTTTTATAATGACATCAGTTGTTTTCAGGTTGTTGTTTGGAAACAGCAGATGTTAAGTTCAGATCCATTCCACTTTAACCCGACTCCGGTCCGATTTAACCTGACTCCAGTCCGCTTTAACCTGACTCCGGTCCGATTTAACGTGACTCCGGTCCGCTTTAACCCGACTCCGGTCCGCTTTAACCCGCCTCCGGTCCGATTTAACGTGACTCCGGTCCGCTTTAACCCGACTCCAGGTCGCTTTAACCTGACTCCGGTCCGATTTAATGTGACTCCGGTCCGATTTAAACTGACTCCGGTCCGATTTAACGTGACTCCGGTCCGATGTAACCCGACTCCGGTCCGCTTTAACCCGACTCCGGTCCGATTTAAACTGACTCCGGTCCGATTTAACGTGACTCCGGTCCGATTTAACGTGACTCCGGTCCGCTTTAACGTGACTCCGGTCCGCTTTAACCCGACTCCGGTCCGCTTTAACCCGACTCCGGTCCGATTTAACGTGACTCCGGTCCGCTTTAACGTGACTCCGATCCACTTTAACCCGACTCCGGTCAGCTCTAACCTGACTCCGGTCCGCTTTAATGTGACTCCGGTCCGATTTAACGTGACTCCGGTCCGATTTAACGTGACTCCGGTCCGATTTAACGTGACTCCGGTCCGCTTTAACGTGACTCCGGTCCGCTTTAACCCGACTCCGGTCCGCTTTAACCCGACTCCAGTGCGCACTAACCCGACTCCGGTCCGCTCTAACGTGACTTCGGTCCGATTTAACGTGACTCCGGTCCGATTTAACGTGACTCCGGTCCGATTTAACGCGACTCCGGTCCGCTTTAACGTGACTCTGGTCCACTTTAACCCGACTCCGGTCCGCTCTAACCTGACCCCGGTCCGATTTAACGTGACTCCGGTCCGCTTTAACGTGACTCCGGTCCGCTTTAACCCGACTCCGGTCCGCTTTAACCCGACTCCGGTCCGCTTTAACCCGACTCCGGTCCGCTTTAACCCGACACCTGTCCGCTCTAACCTGACTCCGGTCCGCTTTAACGTGACTCCGGTCCGATTTAACGTGACTCCGGTCCGCTTTAACGTGACTCCGGTCCGCTCTAACCTGACTCCGGTCCGCTCTAACGTGACTCCGGTCCGCTCTAACGTGACTCCGGTCCGATTTAACGTGACTCCGGTCCGATTTAACGTGACTCCGGTCCGCTTTAACGTGACTCCGGTCCACTTTAACCCGACTCCGGTCCGCTCTAACCCGACTCCTGTCCGATTTAACGTGACTCCGGTCCGCTTTAAAGTGACTCCGGTCCGCTTTAACCCGACTCCGGTCCGCTTTAACCCGACTCCGGTCCGCTTTAACCCGACTCCGGTCCGCTTTAACCCGACTCCGGTCCGCTTTAACCCGACTCCGGTCCGCTCTAACCTGACTCCGGTCCGCTTTAACGTGACTCCGGTCCGCTCTAACCCGACTCCGGTCCGCTCTAACGTGACTCCGGTCCACTCTAACGTGACTCCGGTCCGATTTAACGTGACTCCGGTCCGATTTAACGTGACTCCGGTCCGCTCTAACCCGACTCCGGTCCGCTCTAACCTGACTCCGGTCCGCTCTAACGTGACTCCGGTCCGATTTAACGTGACTCCGGTCCGATTTAACGTGACTCCGGTCCGATTTAACGTGACTTCGGTCCGATTTAACGTGACTCCGGTCCGATTTAACGCGACTCCGGTCCGCTTTAACGTGACTCCGGTCCACTTTAACCCGACTCCGGTCCGCTCTAACCTGACTCCGGTCCGATTTAACGTGACTCCGGTCCGCTTTAACGTGACTCCGGTCCGCTTTAACGTGACTCCGGTCCGATTTAACGTGACTCCGGTCCGCTCTAACCTGACTCCGGTCCGCTCTAACGTGACTCCGGTCCGCTCTAACGTGACTCCGGTCCGATTTAACGTGACTCCGGTCCGATTTAACGTGACTCCGGTCCGATTTAACGTGACTCCGGTCCGCTTTAACGTGACTCCGGTCCGATTTAACGTGACTCCGGTCCGCTCTAACCTGACTCCGGTCCGCTCTAACGTGACTCCGGTCCACTCTAACGTGACTCCGGTCCGATTTAACGTGACTCCGGTCCGATTTAACGTGACTCCGGTCCGCTCTAACCCGACTCCGGTCCGGTTTAACGTGACTCCGGTCCGCTTTAACGTGACTCCGGTCCGCTTTAACGCGACTCCGGTCCGCTCTAACCCGACTCCGGTCCGCTCTAACGTGACTCCGGTCCGATTTAACGTGACTCCGGTCCGATTTAACGTGACTCCGGTCTGCTTTAACCCGACTCCGGTCCGCTCTAACCCGACTCCGGTCCGCTTTAACGTGACTCCGGTCCGATTTAACGTGACTCCGGTCTGCTTTAACCCGACTCCGGTCCGCTCTAACCCGACTCCGGTCCGATTTAACGTGACTCCGGTCCGCTTTAACGTGACTCCGGTCCGATTTAACGTGACTCCGGTCCGCTTTAACCCGACTCCGATCCGCTCTAACCCGACTCCGGTCCGCTCTAACCTGACTCCGGTCCGCTCTAACGTGACTCCGGTCCGATTTAACGTGACTCCGGTCCGATTTAACGTGACTCCGGTCCGATTTAACGTGACTCCGGTCCGATTTAACGTGACTCCGGTCCGATTTAACGTGACTCCGGTCCGATTTAACGTGACTCCGGTCCGATTTAACGTGACTCCGGTCCGATTTAACGCGACTCCGGTCCGCTTTAACGTGACTCCGGTCCACTTTAACCCGACTCCGGTCCGCTCTAACCTGACTCCGGTCCGATTTAACGTGACTCCGGTCCGCTTTAACGTGACTCCGGTCCGCTTTAACGTGACTCCGGTCCGATTTAACGTGACTCCGGTCCGTTCTAACCTGACTCCGGTCCGCTTTAACGTGACTCCGGTCCGCTTTAACGTGACTCCGGTCCGATTTAACGTGACTCCGGTCCGATTTAACGTGACTCCGGTCCGATTTAACGTGACTCCGGTCCGCTTTAACGTGACTCCGGTCCACTTTAACCCGACTCCGGTCCGCTCTAACCTGACTCCGGTCCGATTTAACGTGACTCCGGTCCGCTTTAACCCGACTCCGGTCCGCTTTAACCCGACTCCGGTCCGCTCTAACCCGACTCCGGTCCGCTTTAACGTGACTCCGGTCCGATTTAACGTGACTCCGGTCCGCTTTAACCCGACTCCGGTCCGCTCTAACCTGACTCCGGTCCGCTCTAACGTGACTCCGGTCCGATTTAACGTGACTCCGGTCCGCTTTAACGTGACTCCGGTCCAGTTTAACCCGACTCCGGTCCGCTTTAACCCGACTCCGGTCCGCTTTAACCCGACTCCGGTCCGCTTTAACCCGACTCCGGTCCGCTTTAACCCGACTCCGGTCCGTCAGTCTCGTCAAAGTTCGGTTGGATTGGTGAGGTCTGACCTCTGACCTCAGGTCCTCCAAACCTCTGTCTGATTCAGTTTGAATGTGAACATCAAGCAGATCAGAGAGCGCTCCAAAAGCAGGAAGTGGAGTACAGAGCAGGGCATTCTGGGTAAAAATAACCAAAGCTAAGTAGCGCTAGCAGCAGATCTTTATTCCTGGTCTTCAGCCAAAAACTAAAGAAGTCGTTTTGTAGATGATTTAATTATAAAGTGAACTTTTATGATTGAGCAATAATGTCTTACAATTTAAAATCGTGGTCCTCAGGGTTTAGTTTCCTCATAAACGTCCTGCTGTGATACTAACAGTCCTGTTTTTCGATGAGCTGCTAATAATGTGAACTTCATCTGAATTTTCAAAGGTGTGCACCAAGGTTCAGTATTTGGCTTCATGTGCAGGTTTCTCCTGATGCAGACGATACTGTGGTTTATTCCACCTGCAGGAAAATTAAGTTCGATTAAAAACTTATGAAATCATAATCTGGAGCAGAAACACTGGATTGTTTTATTTGCTTGCTGAAATAAAGTTCCGTTTCGTTTTTGACAGTAAAAACTGTTTTCTGTTCTGACGGACTGACGTTTGTCTCTGCAGCCGCCAAGCGTCCCTCCTCAGTCTCGTCCCTGAGTGGGATTGTGGGTAGGATGATGTCGGCCGGCGAGCGAGGAGCGTCTTCGTCCTCCTGCACCTCCGTCAACACCGTGTGTTCGGACGGCGAGCGCCCCGTCTCCCTGTCCCTGTCCTCCTCCACCTCCTCCGTTTCGCTGCAGGATGCCTCCTGCTCCTCTTCCTCCTCCTCTTCCTCTCTGCCGTACGGCGCCGTGCCGACTTACAACGCCTCGTCCTCCACGGCCAAACGGAACGGCTCCGACATCAGCTTGGACCTCACGCCGCTCCTAACTCCGCCCACTGGAGCGCCCCTGCCAGTCGGAGGCGGGGTCTCCAAGATGGCTGCGGCAGGCCACGCAGCCAATCCGGCGGCGGCGCTGCCAGGGGGGGCCACGCCCCGGCAGCTGTCCAGGCTGGACAGAGTCATTCTGGAGATCGTGGAGACGGAGCAGACCTACGTCAGAGATTTAAAGAGCATCGTGGAGGTGAGAGCCGCTCCAATCGTTGTCCATGCTGGGGAAAAGAGTCTCCTGTTGGACAAAATGTCTCATTTTAAGGATCTGCTGCGGCTTCTGTTCTACCTGCTGATGAAGCAGTAGGGAATATATCACGTTTTCAGGATGGAAGAAATGTTTTTGTCCTCAAGAGTTTTAGTGAAACAGAAAGAAAAAGTTTTTTAAAAAGGAAAATATAATTTCCGAAGGAATGCTGAAAGAATCGAGTTTCTATCTGGAGTGAAAGATTTGAAATGAGCCTGAAAGAAAATTCAAAGATGATTGATTCATTATCATTGTGAAAACATATAGTATAAATTAGGTGTAAATAAAAAGTAATACAGCAGGAAAATTGTTTTGGGTTCATTTTATCTGTATTCGCTTCGTTGGCCTCTGATGACATTCATCACTTCACCTCCATGTTCACAGCATTCATCTTTAGCTTTCTCTTTATGGTCAACATGGTTTTCTTCTTCTACTCTTTCTGCTTGCTGGTTCTCTGAAATGTATTAGCGGTTGGTTTAGCTCCACCTACAGGATGTAGAGGAGGAGATAAAACAGAAGATCAGTGACTCTCCTGACCGTCTGCAGCTCATGCTGCTCTGCTGGGTGGAATAGTGCTTCACTGCTGGTATTAAGGGTGGGGAATTCACAGAGTTGTGCTGCGTCAGGACATCACTTTAGCTTTCACATTTCTTACCAGCCTTGAAACAAATGTCCTTGCTATGTTTAGAAATGTATTAGCTAAGTTATTCCAAAACAGATCATATTGAAGAATAGGCCAGTTGTTAATTTGCTCGACTCCTCCGGCTGTCGACGAGCAATTGGATGAGAAAACGGCTGCTGTTCCTGTGTTCCACGACAGATGGCGCTGTTGAACCTCTCTCTTTTTATGGAAACAATCGTCAGGAACAGACAGGAAAATGTGAGTCCTCTACCTTCATTAATTAGGCTCGTTACTAAATCCTCGTTAGCATGTCTGTTAGCTCAGCGTTAGCGGGTTGGCCCCGTTTGCGCTTAGATTTTAATATTTCTATTTCAGCGCGTTGTGACGCTTTTCCAGGCTTCACTGTGTTTCTGCTGCATGACTTAGACTTTGACTTTACCTGAGGAGTGTTTCAAATGTTTTGTTGAATTTTTTGGATGATTGAAGACATTTCATCCGTCGTTGGTCCAGGTGCACCAGCTGTGCGCGTACGTGTGTGTGTGTGTGTGTGTTTGTGTGTGCGCGCGTGTGTGCGTGCGTGAGCTTGTGTGTGTGTGTGTCTATGTGTGTGTGTGTGTGTGTCTATGTGTGTGTGTGTGTGTGTGTGTGTGTGTGTGTGTGTGTGTGTGTGTGTGTGTGTGTGTGTGTGTGTGTGTGTGTGTGTGTGAACCAGGCTTTTGAAGTGAATTTACAGCAGCTTTCATCCTGAGCCATGACGGCTGTCGTCAGCTTCTCCTGCTGCTGCTGTTTATCTCTCCAGCTTTCATCCCAGCTCACTTTCATTCACACCTTCCTGTTTTCGGTGGAGTCTGTGTGTTTACTGATCGTTAGGATATTTAAGGCGCCATGTTCAAACTTCTGTTTTCCCTTCAAGCAGCCAGACTTTTTCCTCCATGGTTGAATTGTTGCTGTTCTGGTTCTGGACGCTGCGCAGCTGGAAAGATTCTTGTTCTTACTTTTTCACTGTCGGACAGCTGTTATGATGTGTAATCGTGGTAACAAGGTATTGTTTGTACAGCTGGGAGAAGCTATTTGGCATCCCCAAAGCTCAAAACATACCTAAACTTTGACCCCAAGCCCCCAGAGGAGTTGAAAGGAGGCTTCATGGATGCAGAGCAGAGAGAAAAACAAGAAGTTCAGTCTGTCCCTTCCATCATTATCCACTATTCCAACATCTCTGTACCCAGCTGACTGACGGAGATCAGATACTTGGATAACAGGAGTGACGACGACATTTTTTTTTGGAATTGAATTGAACCGAATTCATATAAGTTTATTGTATTTAACCTTATTTTAGCTAACTTACCTTGGAAGGTAAGCTAACTTAAGTTAGCTTACATTAGAAGCTAAGCTAACTAATATTAGCTTAGCTTCCCTTAGCCTAGGTCACCTTGCTTTAGCTTAGCCTATTTCAATTCATTTAAACTGGTTCCAGCTTTGCTAATTTTAGTTTTTTGTAGCATAATTGGTGAGTAAAGCTGGCTCTCTCAAGCTGCACTTATTTTAGCTCATCTTAGCTTAGCTTGGATTTTTTTTTATTTGACTTTAGTCTATTTGATGCATGTTATCTGAGCTTGCCGTAACTATTTTAGCTCACATTACTGTAGCTTTCCTTAGCCTTGCTTTTTTTTTATTATAGCTTGAGTTAGCTTACCCTAGCTTAGCTTGTACAAATGTAGGTTACTTTAGATTTGTCGTACTGTTAAAGTCAGACCAAAATGCAGCTTGGAGCTGAGCATGTAAAAGGCTTCATTGTCAAACCTGTGCTGTCACTGCTGGCTGTAAAAAAATATTTTCCTTTTTTTTTTAACACATTCAACAACCGCTGGCTGAAGACGAATCCCATATTTTGTTTCATGAGGAGAATTTCATGTTAAACTCACCAGCTTACTGTCATATTTATTAAGGAGCTTTCTATCCTCTGTCTGGAAAGTGAACATAATTCATCATTTCTCCATGGTAACCGACTGCGTAGGTGTAAAATTGTGTTTTGATTTAGTTAAATCTTGCATCACAGATTAAGAACTGCAGATGAAGTCAAGGCTGAGCAGAATTAGATTATGAGCAGAAGGTTTTCCTCTGTGAACACCGCTGGGTTTCAGCAAAGCAAGTTATAGTTCCAGCATTGCTAGAGGATTCCTGGAAGATTCCTGGAGATTCCTGGAGGATTCCTGGAAGATTCCTGCTAGATGATAGGTGCATGTTTGCGTTTTGGTCCTGCACGGGGCAGTGTCTCCTGCTGCTCTCTGCAGTCTGAGGTCTGGTTTTGATTGAGGCTACATGATGTCAGGCCCACTTGGAATCTGAACCAACAACCATAATGGGCCTGTGTGTTTCTGAGTGTGCGTGTTTAGTAACAAAGCAGAATGCAAAGCAAGGAAAGAACGGCCGGGTGAAAGCAGCTCCTCTTTCCCTACAGACTGGTTTTTCTTTTGAAGACGTTCAGGTTGCTGCGCAGCGCAGCTGCCAGCGGGTCACACCACCTGGTTCAGCTCCTCAGCGGACAAACTGTTGACTGACACAGAGGGGATCGCTCGCTGACCTGCAGCCAAATGGGACAGGAAGCGGAGGGGGAGTCATTCAGCCAGACAGAGGAAGGGGGAAGGGAGGGAAGACGTGGAGAGGTGCTCCTAATCCGAGGAGCGGGAGCAAATAAAAACCAGAGCGACCCGTAAAAACAGAAAAACCGTGAGGAAACGAAAGGAGGAACACTTCTGGAGTTTATATGGAAATGTTTTATTAAAACTATTGCTATCAGCGTCAACCTGATTCAGAAAAGATTAACTTTTTAATATTACACAATTCAGATTAATCAAATTACCTGTTTTGACCTAAAGCTCTGCAGAGGGTTAGCAGAATGTTATGCAGTCTTGTACTGCGGTCAGCAACGCAAAGTCACAAATGCAGTGAAAAGATGAGAGAAGAGTCAAATTGGGGAAATTAGGCTGAATTTCACTTTAAAAACACTGTATTTAGAGCCAATACATGATAGAGACCTCAATGGGGCTGAGTTCAATTCCCAACCTCGGTTCCCTTGTCCCCTTCCTGTCAAATTACTGTCACATAAGATGGAGGCTCTACCAATCAATTACAGGTCAGGCTTACCAGCTGATTGCTGATTAAAGTGACACAAACATCAATACATAAAATATAACTTTTATATTATTTGCTTACTCTATTTACATTGTTTTTAGGTTCTAATCACACACACCACACACATCCTTACATTTCCTTCAAACTAAACTTCCATTCAGTTTAGAAATTGAATTCATGTCTTATCCATGACCAAGACATTTCCCCTAACCTTAGCCAGTACTAGTCTGTTTCTAACCTGAACTGAACTGGTAGAGCCCAGCAGAACTGCAAAAAAGTGAGCACCAGGAAAGGTCCTCGTTTCCCACAATGTCCTCAGTTTGTGGGTGAGAGTGGTGAAAGTGGTTCCCTTTATGCAATAGATACAAGTACACACACACACCCTCTGTTCTTGTTTTCCAATTTAGGAAGGAATCTTGGAAACGCTTCATGTTTTCCAACAAACTAAATTTCTTTCCAACAATCCTGCAGAAGCAAAAACCAACAGCTTTAGCTTAAATCTCCTGTTTATTGTTATTTTTCTTCTGGGATTTGAACTGACAACCTTTGAAGGACTCTGGAGGCTTTCATGGTGTTTTAGTACGAGTCGTTCTTTATGCTCTACTTCTGAGGAACAGCAGAGGGGTTTCCTTCCAGTTCCATTAGTAACCCCAGTTAGACAAGCTGGTCAGAGCTACGCTGAGTTTTACTAATCTCTACTGATTCATTGCAAACAGGAAGTGACATCATCTCAAGTTTTATTCCTGTAATAAAAACAAATGTCATCAGAAAATATTTTACTTTCCAGTCTTAAAGTTTTCTGACGGATGCATAAAAACCTCCACAGGGAGTCTGGTTCTTTGGACTCCCAACCGGTTTGGGAACCGATGAACCGAGCATAGATTCTTTAATCATTTAGTTTTAAGTTCTTCAGTCCTTTGGTGCTCTGGTTCTCCAGGTCTCCACTTGTCTGGTTCTTCGGTTCTTTAGGTCTCTGGTTTCTCGCCTCCTGATTTGGGTCTGATCCTGTCCTCCATCTTTGCTCCATTTCTTTTTCCTGTCTGATTCTTTTTCTGTAAATCTTCCTCTGGTTTCCTGTTGCTCTGACTTGTTGCTGCGACTCAGAGGAACTCGACCTGAAAAAGAACCGTGAGCTTTGTCTGAGCTGCTTCTGCTCCAGCAGAGAGGAAGATGGTGTGATTATGTGATGAAGATGATGAAGGTGTGACTGTGTGTCTCTGCAGGATTACCTGGGCTGCATCATCGACTGCGGCGCTCTGCCGCTGAAACCAGAGCAGGTCAGCTCTCTGTTCTGCAACATCGAGGATATCTACGAGTTCAACAGGTGGGTCATCTTCCTCACTGTTAGTAAGCCAACTATCTAGCTAACTCTCTAAAATGAGAAATTTAGTTTGAAGCTAAATATTAGCAAAGTGAATATTTAGCTATGAATTGTTTAGTTCTAATCTGACACTTGATAAGGTGGTGAAAATATGACTGAAAAAATGAATCTCATTCATCTTATGACAGACTAACTAACTCAAATTATTGCTGTTGATCTTTGACTGTAACTTTAAGAATTGCAACTTTCCCTTCTTTAGATTCTGGAGAGATTTCCATATTTCTCTGCTCATTTTTAAAGAAAACTGAAACTATGAGAGCATAAGTGTGGGAATAAGCTGGTAATGATGATGAAATAATTTGGTATGATATATCATTGTGAACTTGCCACACTCTGTGTGTGCGTGTGTGTGTGTGCGTGTGTGTGTGTGTGTGTGTGTGCATGTGTGTGCGTGTGTGTGTGTTTGTATGCTTGTGCGTGCGCACGAGTGCGAGAGAGAGAGCCTGAGAAGGAAGCTGGTAAAAAATGTCACACACCTCCTCCTCCCTGCTTTCCCTGCTTTCACACTTTCTTTGTGTCAACTCAAACACACACTCTCACACAGCAATAATGGCATATACAAACAGACACACACACACACACACACACACACACACAGTTTTCATTCCATTCTGCTTCCTGCCGCCGGTTCTCATGGGAAATATTGTCTGAGAAACAGAGAAAGGCTCCTTATTTGACTCTGAGCTGCAGCAGTTATAAAGTTAATATGTTTATAACAACCATCACAACACACACACACACACACTGTACCAGATGGGCAGACATAACAGAGCCAGAAAGGCTACCTCATCCAGCATAGCTCAAACATGACAGCACTCGGCTCTGTACGGAAAGCCAGAAGTGCCGACATTTTATTTTTATGCATTAGTGTCAGCAGTATTAATATTGCTGACACTAACAGTAAAAATGTAAAAATAGCAAACAGGAAGTAAAAAGCTCTTTTTTCCAAACTTGTTTTAGTCGTGTGTATAAATTCATTAATATAAAGTTTAAATGTCATTTTTAATAAACATTGTTTTCATTCTGTGATTTCATGTTGATGGTATCGAAAGGTGAAAATCACCTGCAAACAAAACCTCATGAAAACAGATCTGGCACAAATCCACTGACATTTTTCCTGTTCAGATATGGGCAGAAAGGCTCAGCCAGGAAGAAGCCAGCACCCAAAAACCACCAGATTACAGATTATAATCGAGCCCAGAGACCAGTTTGTCCGTTTTGTCCTCTGGTCTGATGAGACACTGGAAGAGTTTGGACGCTTGGAGGGAAAACCGGGAAAATGTTTGGAGAGTTTAGCTGTGTGAGAGCCTCTCCTCCAGCAGACAGAGATCCTGGGATCTGCAGTGACCTCAGGATGGACTTTGACTGGGCCATCCCATAATATCGCCGGCTGAATGTTCAGGCTGGAAAGTGAACCTTGACTTCTGTCTCAGCTTTTCTACAGGTTTTATCCATCTTCCAATCAACTGTCCCACAGCATGATGCTGCCAGCAACATGTTTCACTGACTCCCATGGGCCGGGGGTTGTTAGGGGTCAGAGGTCAGCAGTCACAGAGGTGGCTCTGTTTACATAGCGGCTAACAGTCCTGAGGAACGGGAAGGTGATGAAAGCGTCCAGCCGGGTTAGGGGTGTAGTCAAAGTTTCTACACCTCTGGTTCTAATTGGACCGGTTCCCCTGTCTGACTCATCTGGACAGATGATTAGACCGGACCAGAACACACTGCTCTGATGTTTGGAAGGAGAACCAGGTTCAGATCCGGACTTGGACCAGGTTTCTTCGGTTCCGTTGGTTCTGATGGTTCCGTTGGTTCTGATGGTTCCTTTGGTTCTGGTGGTTCCGTTGGTTCTGATGGTTCCTTTGGTTCTGTTGGTTCTGTTGGTTCTGATGGTTCCGTTGGTTCTGATGGTTCCGTTGGTTCTGATGGTTCCTTTGGTTCTGATGGTTCCATTGGTTCCTTTGGTTCTGATGGTTCCTTTGGTTCTGTTGGTTCCGTTGGTTCTGATGGTTCCGTTGGTTCTGTTGGTTCCTTTGGTTCTGTTGGTTCCGTTGGTTCTGATGGTTCCGTTGGTTCTGTTGGTTCCTTTGGTTCTGTTGGTTCCTTTGGTTCTGTTGGTTCCTTTGGTTCTGATGGTTCCTTTGGTTCTGATGGTTCTGTTGGTTCTGATGGTTCCGTTGGTTCTGTGGGTTCTGTTGGTTGTGATGGTTCCTTTGGTTCTGATGGTTCCGTTGGTTCTGATGGTTCCGTTGGTTCTGTTGGTTCCGTTGGTTCTGATGGTTCCGTTGGTTCTGTTGGTTCCTTTGGTTCTGTTGGTTCCATTGGTTCCTTTGGTTCTGATGGTTCCGTTGGTTCTGATGGTTCCTTTGGTTCTGATGGTTCCATTGGTTCTGATGGTTCCTTTGGTTCTGATGGTTCCATTGGTTCTGATGGTTCCTTTGGTTCTGTTGGTTCTGATGGTTCTGATGGTTCCTTTGGTTCTGATGGTTCCGTTGGTTCTGATGGTTCCTTTGGTTCTGATGGTTCCGTTGGTTCTGATGGTTCCGTTGGTTCTGTTGGTTCTGATGGTTCCGTTGGTTCTGATGGTTCCGTTGGTTCTGATGGTTCTGATGGTTCCGTTGGTTCTGATGGTTCCGTTGGTTCTGATGGTTCCGTTGGTTCTGTTGGTTCCTTTGGTTCTGTTGGTTCCTTTGGTTCTGATGGTTCCTTTGGTTCTGTTGGTTCCATTGGTTCCTTTGGTTCTGATGGTTCCTTTGGTTCTGATGGTTCCATTGGTTCTGATGGTTCCTTTGGTTCTGATGGTTCCATTGGTTCTGATGGTTCCTTTGGTTCTGTTGGTTCTGATGGTTCTGATGGTTCCTTTGGTTCTGATGGTTCCGTTGGTTCTGATGGTTCCTTTGGTTCTGATGGTTCCGTTGGTTCTGATGGTTCCGTTGGTTCTGATGGTTCCGTTGGTTCTGTTGGTTCTGATGGTTCCGTTGGTTCTGATGGTTCCGTTGGTTCTGATGGTTCCGTTGGTTCTGATGGTTCCGTTGGTTCTGATGGTTCCTTTGGTTCTGATGGTTCCGTTGGTTCTGATGGTTCCTTTGGTTCTGATGGTTCCTTTGGTTCTGATGGTTCTGATGGTTCCGTTGGTTCTGATGGTTCCGTTGGTTCTGATGGTTCTGATGGTTCCTTTGGTTCTGATGGTTCCGTTGGTTCTGATGGTTCCGTTGGTTCTGATGGTTCCTTTGGTTCTGATGGTTCCGTTGGTTCTGATGGTTCCGTTGGTTCTTTGGTTCTGATGGTTCTGTTGGTTCTGATGGTTCCGTTGGTTCTGATGGTTCCATTGGTTCTGATGGTTCCGTTGGTTCTGATGGTTCTGATGGTTCCGTTGGTTCTGATGGTTCCGTTGGTTCTGATGGTTCTGATGGTTCCTTTGGTTCTGATGGTTCCGTTGGTTCTGATGGTTCCGTTGGTTCTGATGGTTCCGTTGGTTCTGATGGTTCCTTTGGTTCTGATGGTTCCGTTGGTTCTGATGGTTCCTTTGGTTCTGATGGTTCTGATGGTTCCTTTGGTTCTGATGGTTCCGTTGGTTCTGATGGTTCTGTTGGTTCTGATGGTTCCTTTGGTTCTGATGGTTCCGTTGGTTCTGATGGTTCCGTTGGTTCTGATGGTTCCATTGGTTCTGATGGTTCCGTTGGTTCTGATGGTTCCGTTGGTTCTGATGGTTCTGATGGTTCCATTGGTTCTGATGGTTCTGATGGTTCCATTGGTTCTGATGGTTCCTTTGGTTCTGTTGGTTCTGATGGTTCCGTTGGTTCTGTTGGTTCTGATGGTTCCATTGGTTCTGATGGTTCTGATGGTTCCATTGGTTCTGATGGTTCCGTTGGTTCTGATGGTTCCGTTGGTTCTGATGGTTCTGATGGTTCCATTGGTTCTGATGGTTCCGTTGGTTCTGATGGTTCCATTGGTTCCGTTGGTTCTGATGGTTCCGTTGGTTCTGATGGTTCTGATGGTTCCACCGGGCTGCGCTCACAGATCCGTTTGTTCCAGAGGAATTGGGCCCTTCTGGCTTCCCTTACAGCGATCTGAGCGCTGTCCCGGTTCGGACGGTTTGGACCTCGCTGACCCGGTGGAATCAGATACATAGTTTCTCTCTCTGCTGCTTCGTTTTCACTCTCAGCTCATTTGCATCCCTCTGCTCTTCATCCTCCTCCTCTTCCTCTGTGGTCTCTGCATTAAAAGGAAACAGCAGAACTTCCCTCAGCCTCACCGCAAGCCAGTAATGAGACGAGGTCCATCGGCCGCAGGACGAGGCCTGACGCCTGGGGGGGAGGAGGAGGAGGAGGAGAGGAGGAGGAGGAGGAGGAGGGAGAGGAGGAGGAGGAGGAAGAGGAGGAGGAGGAGGAGGGAGAGAGAAGGAGGAGGGGGAGGAGGAGGAGGAGAAGAGGAGGAGGGGGAGGAGGAGGAAAAGGAGGGGGAGGAGGAGGAGGAGGAAGAGGAGGAGGAGGGGGAGGAGGAGGAAAAGGAGGGGGAGGAGGAGGAGGAGGAAGAGGGGGGGAGGGGGAGGAGGAGGAAGAGGAGGCGTCTTCTCCTGACAATGCCCAGCCTCCCTCATCTTTCTGTCTTCTGCTGTTCGTCGTGTGACCCGTTCGGTTCTGGTCCGACTCAAAGCTTCACTTTCAGTCCATTCAGATTATTGATGAAGAGTCATTAAACGGGTTCGATTCCTTCGCTCTAATAATAATGGCCGCCCTCAGATTGGATTGTGTGTCGTTATTGACGCTGAGCTGAGTCTCCTGCAGTGTTTTTGTTCAGTATGAATTTCTATACCTTGTTATAAGGAGTTCGCTTCATGATAGTTTTTACTTTTAATAGCTACAAACTGTGTAAATTTGTTAAATGCATCTTGTTTTTACTGTGCTAACTTTAGCTCTAGCTTGTTAGCTTATCATCTTTGCTGAGAAGCTTTTCTTATACCTTGGGTTAGACCTTCTTTAGTTTTTCTCAGGACAGTTTATCTTTTAGCTTATTTTCAATGTCAGTTTGAAGATTTTAGTTTAACTTCAAACTGTTTATTTCACTGTGGCTTTATCTGCTTTATTTTGCTCAATAAATGTTGTACTTACCTTCGCTTAGCTAACCTAGCCTAGCTTAGAACAGCTGAAATTACATTAGTTTGGCTTGCTTAATAGCTTAATAACATTTGTTTTACGGTAGCCAAGCATACGATAGGTAAATGTGGCAGTTTTTTGTATTTTTTTATAACTTAATTAATCTTGCTTTACCTCAGCCTAAATTCAACAAATAGCATGTGAGCTCGGCTGCATCATCAAATAGTGAAAACTAAGGGAAACATTTGGTGTTGAGCGATTTCTTGGTTACTGTGACGTACTGAAGGATGTCAGCACTTCATATCTTTATGCTGCTGAAATCCAGTTTAGTTGGTTTTGGAGGATGAAACTAACACATCATCTGACAGGAACTGAAGTGTTTCTAGAAAAAGAGATGGATCTGAACGGCATCATTCGGTTTAATTTATCTGTGTAATGCCCCACTCTAATGATCTGGTAGAGGTCGGTATAATTTGCAGTGGCGACAGGGCCAGCCTGTGTTTGTTGATCTTGACAACAACTCAGTGAAATAAACCTTTAAGCCTAAAAAATAACTGCTTTCTGCCCAAATCTCCCAAAGTTTCCCAGAGAGTGAGTGATCCATCATTAGCTGTGTAGGAATAAAAAGGAAGCTGATTCCTCTGGGAGTCTGAGAGGTTTTCACCGTCCTGTCTCTTTAAAATAACGCTGGCTGCGTTCAGAGCAGCTCAACAATACGTTTGACCATAACTCACTTTGCTTTCTTCACTGACTGGTTGCCATCCAAAGTCTCTCAGGGTTTCAGAAAAATTACAACATTATGAAGTATATGGCTGCACATAAATTTTATGAACACTTAATGTGGAGTTGATGCAGGCGGAGCATGCCAAGCTTTGCTAGTGCTTTTTCCTGCCTGACCTCGTTTCAGAAACATGTGTCGTCTAACCGTGTCAGGTTCTGCAGCCAGTGAAGGAGTTCTCGCTTCAAACCTTCAGAGGGAAAACTCCAGGCGGACGCGAGAAACCAGCAGTTTCTCTGGAATGTTTTGACTTGCCGTTCAGTTTAATTTCTCCTGGATTGCTGAAGGCTCCTTTGCAGGGGTGAAGACTCATATTTAGCACATAAACCACAAAATCTTTATAATAGGTAATTAAAAAGTCAAACACCAGAACTGCATTTACAGGCATTTAATCAACTGGATCAGCAGTGAAGGATGTTTAAAGGGACAAATGGGAATGCTGTAATCCATGAGAACATTCCCTGGATCTGCAGATTGTGACCATGCAGTCACATCTGCATCGCTCAGCCACCTGAGGCTATCATTAGTTTGGGAACAGATGGAACTCCAAGTTCTGCAGCTTTAATACCAAACTTCCTCTGATCCATATGGACCGGCTGGTCTGACTGGTTTCTCAAGACTGGTAGAACTGTGGGTTCATTTTCCAGTCTAGAGCCAAACTGGGTGGCGCTCCATCTGTTGGTGTTCATCTAGTCTGGGCCTGATGAGGATAGAATATCTCTGGTAGAAGAACCTCATCCGCTTTTATAAGGCTTGATTCATGGTCCAAATTTCTAACAACGATTTTTTTTGTAATCTGTTGCTTGATTTGGTTTTAGTGCCATTTATAGGCAGTATAATTTCTAAGTAACAAGAGGAATCTGGGAGGAAAGATGGACTGCAAATCAGAAACTGACCAGAACTAGAATAAGCCCAGGCAGCAATTTATCTAAACCGCTAACAATAGAGCTAATTTTTCATCTGCTGATTTTGCTAACTTTGAAAATGTTTAGCACACTTAGTTTTCCCTAAATCAATTTTCCAGATAATCTGTAACATGCTAATTTCCAGATAGATCTTTAATGACAAATTTGATCCTCCTGAGGGCGATAAACTGTTGTTTTATCATGACACATAGTGGGTAGCAACATGGTTAAATTTAACGCTTTAGCATTAGCTTCCGCTATGTACTGTGTTGACTTATCGTTAGCAGAACTATCATTCTTGATTAGTACTGTAGCGTTAGCATAGCTAACTTTTTGGTTAGCTAACTTTTTGGTTAGCTACCAGCGGCGACACCCAGCAAGATCCAGAATGATTTAGTTATTAGTGGATTGATGTGGCAATGTGAAATAATCAGTCCAGTTCAGGAAAAGAAAGAATTTTTGACTTTCCAGAAAATCAGGATAAGTTATTATGCTAATAATAAAGCCACTTCCTAAAGGTTTAATTGAGTTAAAAAAAAATTGAAACAAATTAAATGTAAACTTCAAATTTCTGTAGACCAGTCAGTTAAGTTTTCAGAGAAGAAGAAAATGTTCAGAGTATTTTCTCAGCTGCTTAAAGGTCAAACCTTCAGCAGAAGCGTACTGGGTCGACGTTTGGAATAATCTGAATCTCCAGGCAGAACAGAACAGTCAAAGTAAGGCTGTTTACTTCCTCAGAACCCGTTCGGTTTCTGATCCATTGTTTCACCAACAACTATAGGATTCCACAAATCCTATATTTTTCATTGAAGCAGGAATTTAGGGTTTTTGTGATCACTACAGTATCATCAGCATATGGTTGAAATTTGAGACCATGATGGGAGATAATCTGAGGCAGTGGGATCCTGTGATAAAGAGGATTGATCTGAGTACACTACCTTGAGGCGCTCCCTGGCTTTCCAGACTGGCAGAATTTGAGGTTTGGCTCATTTGTTATGTACATTTTTCGGTTTTTACTCAATTTTTGCCACCAAGAACTTTGCTCCTAATGCTCAAACAAACATTCCCACAAGATTACTCCCATATGTGCTGCCTCTGACTCCTAATGCAATGTGATGTATAAACTGGTAACCGTTTGACTAAAAACAGACATCTAAGGACAAATATGATGCAATACTGTGTAAAATCCAAAATATCAAATCCAAGCAAAGTCTATTAAGGATGATTATTGTCATATTTAAGCTCTTTAAACATTAAAGATGATGTTTAAAACCAAGACCAGCTGCTGCGCAGGGTTTAAACCCAAACGTTCAGCCTCAGAAAGAGCTGCTTGGCTGGTTTCCATCGGACTGGTTCTGGGACTAATGACAGAGAATTTCAGCTGTAGTAGTGGCTCTTACACACATCTGTGTTTCATAAAGAGAATGTAGCAGATATATGAAGGCCACAGAAGAAACAGGAGAGTCGGAGCTCCCAGATAGAGGAGGGGAATATGCTTGGACTTGGCAGGTTGCGGGGATGACGCTGAGGACGGACTGTGGGAACAGATCTCAGGCTGAAGGTCTGCCGGCTGTTCCAGGTCCGTTCAGCGTCACGTTAACTCTCCAGAGGAAACACAGCAACCCTGTTAGCCTGTTCTCTCCAGGACCAAAATGCACAACAGTGAATAATATTGACTGTCAGATGTTTTCTGAGGCTCCAAATAAACCAGACTGACCTCTGACCTACTTTTACTTCACTGCTTTGGGCTGTTTCCATCCCTGGGGTCTGAAAGCTGCATAGCTTCATGTTAAAAGTCAGAACTGGGTGTCAAAACTAAATATATGAGGCCTGGAACAGAAACGGTCCAATACAAGGGCCAGACTTGCACAATATTTATTTTAATAAGGAAGAAAATAAAAGGTGATGATCATTCCAAGCTATACAGGTTGTACAGTGGCGCAAAAAGTGGCTATGCACCGCATGCAACCCATAGGAGGCGCTAAAACGATGTGGGGAATTTTTTTTCTAGTCAGCATTGTATGACTTAACAGCTGTTTGTGTGTGAAATGATCAATAACAGAGGAACAGCACACAGAGCACACATACATCTAGCTTGGAAACTTGTATGTATGTGAAAACTGAGGCGTTTTCATTCTTTTAAATGTGAATTGTTGTAAAGAACTCGACGACAGGGAGCTGAAGATGGCGGCAGGAAAAACTCCGGGGCGCAAAACGGAAAACTGATGTACAAAATGTCTCCAACTTTCACTGAAATATTTCATGACTATTAAACACAGAATTTACTGTCCGTCTCTCTGTCTGTCTCTCCGTCTCTGTCTGCCTGTCTGTCTCTCTGTCCATCTCTCTGCCTGTCTCTCCGTCTCTGTCTGCCTGTCTGTCCATCTCTCTGCCTGTCTCTCCGTCTCTGTCTGCCTGTCTGTCTCTCTGTCCATCTCTCTGCCTGTCTCTCCGTCTCTGTCTGCCTGTCTGTCTCTCTGTCCGTCTCTCTGCCTGTCTCTCCGTCTCTGTCTGCCTGTCTGTCTCTCTGTCCGTCCTCAGTGACCTGCTGGAGGATTTGGAGCGCAGTCCTGACGCGGCGGCCATCGCAGAGTGCTTCGTAGAGCGGGTGAGTCCCGTTCTGACCCGACCCGGTTCAGAACGGATAATAAGCAGTGAAAGGTTCTGGACAGCCTGCGGGCTGAGATGTTGCATGAATGGAGACATGTCAAATTAAAGCTCTAATCTGGACACAAGTCACTAAATACATGGAATTAAACATAATTTGTCTTCAAGTAGATCAGGTAGAAAATAATCCCACCAGATGAATACTTGTTCAGTTAGAAACATCATCCATCAACACTAACCCTAATCCCAGGTCAAATCCGACCTCACTCCGGGGCAGGAGGTTGTGGGTTCAAGACCCACTGCTCAAATATGACAACATTTCAGATAATTTAGAGTGAAACGGGCTCATTGATGAGGATTTTATTCTCTGCTCTGTGATTAAAGTCAAAGGAGGAACATAAACTTTAGAGTTGTGATTATTTTAAAACTTAAATTCAGATTTTCAGGCAGTTTCCTTGGATTAAAGCTGAACTGAATTTCCTGTCTGCAGCTGAGGACATTAGATTAAAACCTGAAGTGTCTGGGTTATTTTAAGGCGTCTGCTGACTGAACATCGGACTGAAAACTCGGCTCAGATAAACTTCCTGAATGTGACATCATCCCTCCAGAGCTGATGGCGTCTTCCTCAGTCAGAGATGTGATGATGTTACTCCTTGGCCTCATTGTTGTTTTCTTTTATTTGTATGTTTGGTTTATTTCATTTGCCTGCAGTGACTTGATCCTGTTTAAGTTACTGATTATACTGTTGGAAATAAAGGTGCTATCGTCTAAAAATAAGAGGCCAAACATGGTTACATATAGAAATATGTAAATTAATTTCATGAACTTGCTGTTAAAACTGAAAATTGTTCTGAAATAATTTTGTTACACTGAAGCTTTTAAATGTTATAGTGATGTTAAAATGAGAGTGGGCCGAGCCTGGAGCCCTGTGGTTCTCCCGCTCTGACCTCTTCTTCTCTCCTGGTTTTCAGAGTGAAGCCTTTGACATTTACACGCTGTACTGCATGAACTACCCAAAGTGAGTTCACTTTTTATTTCAGCATAATTTTAATATTAATGTTTTTTCGGAAAATCTTCTGCTTTTGTTATTTCTCAGTGAATTTTTGTTGATTTACATGATAATTTCTTTATCCTTGTTTTTAAAGGAACTTCTGTTCTCCAGAGGATGAACAGAAATAATGAAATAATTAATCAATTCCTAATCAAAAAAAACATATTGACAAAATAAGCAACATTTTCAGTTCAAAAAAATCCTTTTTGGCTGAAAAATTGTTGAATAAGTAACCATAGGAGTTGAACATCAGAGATATTTATGGTTTTTAATCTTCAGGTTCATCAAGTTGGAGCAAAATCTGATTATTCATGGAGCTTCTTTACAAATGTGGACGCTCACTTTAGCGTTAGCTAATACATTTTAGCATTGAGATGTTATTTTAGGCTAGCATAGATTCTGATAGGCTAACTCCTTTTAGCAAACTTGAAGATGACAATAGTCTTTCCCAGCATCCAATCAGATGGTTTAGAAGCAGAAATGATCACCAATGGGACGAGAGAAACTGCTTCCTTCTCTGCTATTCGCGGATGTGGCTGTGCTTCAGATGTACAGACGTAGCAGAAACACAACAGGTGTAAACTAAAAAAATCTAAAAACCGTTGGGTTGTTCTTAAGGAATCGTTGGGTTGTTCTTAAGGAATCGTTGGGTTGTTCTTAAGGAATCGTTGGGTTGTTCTTAAGGAATCGTTGGGTTGTTCTTTAGGATTTGTTGGGTTGTTCTTAAGGAATCGTTGGGTTGTTCTTTAGGATTTGTTGGGTTGTTCTTAAGGAATCGTTGGGTTGTTCTTTAGGATTCGTTGGGTTGTTCTTTAGGATTCGTTGGGTTGTTCTTTAGGAATCTTTGGGTTGTTCTTTAGGAATCGTTGGGTTGTTCTTTAGGAATCGTTGGGTTGTTCTTTAGGAATCGTTGGGTTGTTCTTTAGGATTTGTTGGGTTGTTCTTTAGGAATCGTTGGGTTGTTCTTTAGGAATCGTTGGGTTGTTCTTTAGGAATCGTTGGGTTGTTCTTTAGGAATCGTTGGGTTGTTCTTTAGGAATCGTTGGGTTGTTTTTTAGGAATCGTTGGGTTGTTCTTTAGGAATCGTTGGGTTGTTCTTAAGGATTCGTTGGGTTGTTCTTAAGGATTCGTTGGGTTGTTCTTAAGGAATCGTTGGGTTGTTCTTTAGGAATCGTTGGGTTGTTCTTTAGGAATCGTTGGGTTGTTCTTAAGGATTCGTTGGGTTGTTCTTTAGGAATCGTTGGGTTGTTCTTTAGGAATCGTTGGGTTGTTCTTTAGGAATCGTTGGGTTGTTCTTTAGGAATCGTTGGGTTGTTCTTTAGGATTTGTTGGGTTGTTCTTTAGGAATCGTTGGGTTGTTCTTTAGGAATCGTTGGGTTGTTCTTAAGGATTCGTTGGGTTGTTCTTAAGGATTCGTTGGGTTGTTCTTTAGGAATCGTTGGGTTGTTCTTAAGGATTCGTTGGGTTGTTCTTTAGGAATCGTTGGGTTGTTCTTAAGGATTCGTTGGGTTGTTCTTTAGGATTCGTTGGGTTGTTCTTCAACATGGAGCTGATCCAAACTGCAGAACATCTCCAGGAGCATCTGCAGGCCTGACAGCAGAGAGGAATTCAGCTGGAACATGGAGCAGACCTCAGGGGAAGGAGAGCCGGCACATGCTGAACCCATCCATCCTGCTGAGCTCCACTTGGACGCCGATGAGCCGTGGAGGAACGGAGAGGGTTACTGGGTTTAAGGCCTGGCTTCTGCTGGAAACCATTTACAACATTCCCCCAGTCACAGAGCCATCATTTACCTTCTGACTGGCTTCCAGAAACGTTAGCGTTAGCGTCGTACAGGTCTGAACCGCTCTGTACTGCTTTAAAACTGAAGCACCATCAAACTAAAACAGCAGGAAAGCAGGACTAAACTGACCAAGCCACCAAAAAGTTGCTGTTTATTTAAGAGCTCGCTGAATAAATTAGAGCAGTAGAAGGAGAGTTTCCAGGAAGTAGAAACAGCCGAGGTTTGACGCTTCCTGCGGATGTCAGCAGGTTTAAGCCATGTCACCACCTGCATGGCCCGGTTCTGCCGGATCTCTTTATGAGCTTCAGGTCAGGCAGGAGTCATTTCAAAGAATCGATGTTCTTCTAAATCTGCTGACTAGCTAATAGTTTATGTAGAAATAATCCAGAAGCATCATGATTCCTGCAAAACCAAAATGTTTCCACATCACAGATGTTAAAATGTTTGCAGCATTTGCTGATTAGCATCAAAAGTTTTCAACTCATTCTGAATATTTTTAGTTTTTTCATGTTGGTTTGATGATGCTGCGGCTGAACTTTGTCTGCTGAATCGTTTTGCTGAACGTCTGTGGAAGACATTACCGCCTCAGTTCCTTCCTCTGATTAACGTTCATGTGGAGGACAAGCATCGTGTCCGGTTCCCCATCGGCGCCCTGACCTCCTCCTCTCCTCTTCCTCTCTGCTGTCGAGGATTCCTCGGCTTCCTGCTGTGCTGGATGCTCCAGAACGGGCCTTCATCATCTGGACTCGACCCGGATCTGCTCGGCTTTCCTCCATGTTGAATGGAGCCTTCACCAGAGACTTCCTCTGAGTCTGTGGGTCCAGCTGGAGGCCGTTCTGTCTGCATGGACGAACGTTCTCACCGTGTCCATTGTGTCCCCGCAGCTCGGTGGCGGTCCTCAGGGACTGCATGAAGAACGGCAGTCTGGTCCGGTTCTTCCAGGAGCGGCAGGCGACCCTGAACCACTCGCTGCCCTTGGAGACGTACCTGCTCAAACCCGTGCAGAGGATCCTGAAGTACCACCTGTTGCTGCAGGTCAGACGCACCCTAAAGTCTCTGAGGTTACAGGGAACCGTTTTCAGAATGACCTGGATCTGTGATTTGATTCAGAAATGATTTTTCTATTCAGTCTAGAGATTCTGTTTAAATGATGAGTGACAAGAGGAAGACGGTTTTAGCAAATTCTTTAAAACATTTTCATAAATTTCCTTGCTGTATCAAATTCCGCCAATTTATAATTAAACAAAACTACCAGCATTATGTTAGCTTAGCTGCCTGGCTTTTCTTAAAGAAATATCCAAAATATACACAGCAACTTTTAATGTGGTATTCAGTAACTGGCAGGTAGGAGCAGCAAAGACATACAGCCTGAACAAATTTCAAAAAATTACTTTTGAGCTGCCGACAGGATCTGCCTATAATCTCATATATTTACATGTAAATGTTATTTGATATGTAATGTCCCGTTTTAAAAAATAAGCTTGATTCAATCAACAATCAGGTTATACCTTAAATACACCTGCTACTGCATTCAGGAGCTAAAACTATGTTTCACCACTTTGTTAGAAACTGTGAAAGAGTTGAAATGAAGTCGGTTTGAACCAGCAACACACCGTTTACAGGACAAACTCCCACCACCGTCAGCCATGCTGAGGCCAACCTGCGATAAATACCAGCTGCACTGTCAGCAGAAATCAGCTAAACTAAATAAACTCTGAGAAACTTCATCAAACTGAATTAAAGAAAATAATCTAATTGTTATAGTATAAGCTAACACAAGCTAAGCTAAGGTAAACATTTAAAATAAATGGAAACCAATACAAGCTAAGGTCAGCTACGTTAACTTAAATCAAGATAAACTGGGTAAGATAAGCTAAGCTGAACCAAGACAAGCTAATAGAAACCAAATAAAAACATTATAAACTAGGAAAAATTATGCTAGGCTAGTGAAAATGTAGCTAATCTGAGCTAAGTAAAAAGCATGTAGCCAAAGTTAAATAAAGATGGGAGAAATTCAGGTTTGTTTACTGTAGCTGATGTCAGGCTCAGTTAAAGTAAATGAGCCACTGTTGTTGCTTTGCTAACAGCTTTAAGAGGAGCTGCTAAGAATCCAGGGCTAATCTGGTTATCGGTTAAATTCCTGACCAACTTGTGGGATCAGGTGTGTTTATCAGTGGGCTGAAGACTCTGTGGTTCTCAGATCAGCTCCTAGTCCAACACCAGTGAAGACAGTCAAAGGTTGTGGGTTCGAGTCCCACCAGGGTCTGATTTTAGATTGGCTGAAACTGGAACTTATTTTGGCTTAAATATCTGAAGTTAAAACTGTTTATTTCAGTTTGAAGCAGCACAATAAATATTTGAAAGGAAACAGGAAGTAAGTTCCCAGATAGGACATCATGGCAGAAACATTGAATCCTCGTTGAAGCCTGGCAGTGAAACGACATGGAAAGTGGTCGATGACTCTCATGTTGAACCAACGATTCAACCATAACTGACATGATATCAATGTTGATTCAACCATCATCTGAATGTGGATCTACATGCAGATTTTTGTTGATTTTATATTGAATAAAAGTTAAGGAATCGATGTGGATTCATGCATCATAACATAGCATTAAAAGTTTCTTCACTGGTGATAAGCACACAATTTTATTGGTAGATGATTATTGTAAATGATCATGTCGTTCAAAATGATCTAACATGATCAGACGTTGATCAGACGTTGATCAGACGTCGGCATTTCAATCCTTAGGTTTCAACCACAAACCAACATTGAACCAATGAATCTCTTCAACATTCATTGGATGATTGTTTGAAGGTTGATCCACCATCAGACGTTGCCCTCATCCAAAAATCCACCTTTCTGACCGCAATTCAACGTTGAACAACCATCGCCGCATTCTGGGCTGTTTCCACAAAATCCTCCGGTTTAGTCTGAAGTGTCAAGATAAAACCAGAAAGATGTTTTCCGTGTCTCTGTCCAACGATGAGCTGTAAAGAAACATTTCAGGTCCGTCCTCATGACTCCAGCAGACACACGCTGCTGTTCCCAGGAAACCAGTTCCAGTCCAAACCCACCGCTGAGCCGGCCAGGTCACAAAACGGAGAGAAACATTGCTCTGAATTAGCAACCTGTTGCTGCTGCATTGCCCCGTTGCTCCGTCTGCAGTGATTCTCTTTCATTCTTTGCTGATCCAGAATCGGCCGAGTTGCTGCAGGTGTTAAACTAACATCCTTCTGATCTTTATGCATTTATTCCTGTTAGACGTTTAATTATCAGCTTCAAAGTTTCTGTTTGAGGAAAAATCAAATCATTTCAGGTCCTGGAAGCAACAAAACGTTGCAGAAACGATGTTTCTCGTTCCAGGAACTCTCCAAACACGTGGACAAGAACGACGCGGGCTACGAGGTGGTGGAGGACGCCATCGTCACCATGACGGCGGTGGCATGGTACATCAACGACATGAAGAGGAAGCAGGAGCACGCCGTGCGGCTGCAGGTGGGCCACCGGGGAGGTTGAGGGTTTGAATCCCAGTCTGGGACAGAAACTGTAAAACTTGCTGATGAAATGTGGAAGAAATATTCACCAGAAAATTCTGCAGCGTTCAGGAAATAAAGTATAAATCTGGACAGGTTATTATGCTGCATTAGTTCATGGCAATTAACGCATTGCTGCAATAAAAGCACTAATTTTCATAAATGCTGGCAGTAAATAAGGCAGGAGGAGCAAAACCAGCTGGTTGCCTCACTGCGTGGGAGCACATTCCCTCTGCACAGGAAATGATGCGATGCTCTTCCTGTCCTGTCTCACTGCAGCCGAGTTCCAGCCGGGATTTTGAAGAGTCACGTTAGAAACGGTTGATGGAAATGAAATCATTTCCACAAAAAGTTTTTACGTTCGTTCAAAATCCTCGTCAGGAAGCAGAAAGAGAAGGATGAACAAAATGTCCCACCTGGAGACCAAACACCTGCTGGTTAACCTTTAACCTCCGTCAGGAAATCGAGTCCCTGCTGCTGAACTGGAGCGGACCGGACCTGACCGGATTCGGAGATCTGGTTCTGGAAGGTTCCTTTAAGGTCCAGAGGGTGAAGAAGGAGCGTGCCTTCTTCCTGTTCGACAAAATGCTGCTGATCGCCAAGAAGAGGCTGGAGCAGTTCGTCTACAGCACACACATCTTCGTAAGGGACACACCCTGTCTGCCTGTCTGTCTGTCTGTCCCCCGTCTGCCTGTCCCCCTCACTGTCCTCCGTCCCCTGCAGTGCTGCAATCTGCAGCTGGTGGAGACTCTGAAGGACCCGCTGAGCTTCCGGGTGTCGGACCAGACCATCCCCAAGCAGCAGCACGTGGTCCAGGTGAGACCCTCGACGTCTCGTCCAGCTTCAACGCCGGCGCCGTCTCACTCTCGCTCGCCTTCCCGCAGACCAAGAACCAGGAGGAGAAGCGGCTTTGGGTGCACTACCTGAAGAGGCTGATAGTGGAGAACCACCCGGCTTCGCTGCCGCAGAAGGTGAGCGACGGGGAACGTCTCTGTCCTCTGAACATCCATCCTGTCCCAGGGACACTGAGGGACCGCCCAGCAGCTGGATGCTACAGCTAACTCTGCAACATCTGGATTTTATCTGGAACTCCTCACCTCCACCTCCACATTAACTGTATTATTTTCAGGAGCTTTAATCTCTTAGTTAAACTGCTGATCACTGACTGGTTTGAGTATATGCGATAACTGCTTGCCCTAACTTTCTTCTTTTAGTTTCAGTTTAGTTTTAGTTCAGTTTCTTTTAGTTTTTAGTTTCAGCTGAAATAATCCAACAGATGTTTAATTTTTCTTTCTTCTAAAACATCTCAGATGAAGAATCTACGCTGATTTGTTTTGACAGGAAATAAACACAAACAAACATTTCATGTAAAACAGTGAAGCTGGTTGAACTTCTGTTTAGAGTTGATGTTTGGTGCCACCTGCTGGTTGGTGAGACACACTGCAGGTGTGAAAAGATATTTAGATTTCCTGAAAGCCTTTGGTAAAGTTACACTGTAAAAAGTTAACATCAAGATTTTGACATGTTTAGCCTGTTACAACAGAAGCTAATGGGTTTTATTTTTTTACACAGACTTGTAAATGTCACAAATTCAAACATTTCAATTAGCAAATATGTAGCATGCTAACTAAATATTTAGCTACCAAGCTACTTATTTGGAAAATTATTTATCATGTAAACATTTTTGTTTACCAATGAAATATTTAGTTTTCTGGCTAAATATTTAGCAGGAAATGCTTTGTAAGCTTAGCAGGCTACATGTCGCTTTTCTCTCATACGACAGGCTAAATGTAGTGGCTGCTAATTTTTGACTGTCACTTTACCAACCCTGCTTCATGTTCTGCTTTAGAGCATGGAAAGTTATGATGTGAATGAAAATACTTTCATGTAGATTAAACTGACATGAAGTAAATATGAGTCGACGTTTCTACAACCACAAAAAATAACGAAGGTCCCAGTAAAGCAGCCGGCACTGAGTGGAAGAGAAGTTTGAAACTGAAACAAGCTTCCATCGTTTAACGTTAAAGAAATCTGAAGCTGCATTTTACAGCTCTGACACTGGAGGGCGCCAGAATGTAACAAGAAGTTCAGTGTGGATGGATAACTGGCTGCTTCCCGGTTCCAGTTGCTGTGGATGGTCCAGCTGCAGCTGATCTGTTTGTCCCTGACAGGATAAACAGACTTTCAGAGAGTTAGCTTCAGGTTCCTGGTTTGTCTCATCTGTTTCCTCTTGGCTTCATGTTTCTGTGGAGTGACTGAAGCGCTGCAGGAACGTTTATCTGGAGAGTTTCAGCTGAGCTGTTGGTTCCCACCAACAACTAAAGAAAATGTTTGGATTCAGATGAAAACAGGAATGATGCTGCTGGTTGTATCTGGTTTTATTGAAGTTTTTCTGTGCGGTCCCTCCCTGCAGGCCCGGCAGGTCCTTGGAGACAACTTCTGCCAATGTGAGTTCTCTCACACACACGTTTCTACAGCAGTACAGCCTCATCCTGACCTCTGACCTGGCCCTTCCATTTCCTCTGAATGACCTCTGTGATTGGCTGCTTTGAGAGCTTGAGTGTGTAATGACATCACTTTCTGTTTCAGCTCCGCAGTTTGATCAGGAGAGCCTGAAGAAGTCGTGCGCCTCGCCGCGTCTGGACGACCTTCACGGTTTCCATCGAGGCCGGCGTCAGTCAGGTAGGGATCCTCTGCTCTGGAGGTTCAGGTTCAGGTGAGTTTCTGACAGACCGGACCGAACTGCAGCTCTTGTTTCTCTCTACAGAACCACCAGAGCTGCTGCTGTACACACCAGAGAAATCCAGGAAGGGTCTGCCTCTGCTGCTGGAGGGGACGCTGCCGTACCGCCGCACCCGGAGGCAGTCAGGTAGCCTGCAGACGCAGCTCAAGGCCCACACAACCCACACACCCATCTGTCTGTGTGCATGTCAGGTTTTCATGTCCTTATGGGAACCTATTTCTGTCTACAATGTGGGTTTCTGGCTCCTTGTGGGGACATTTTATTGGTCCCCAGGAGGGAAATTGTTGTTTTTGGGTTAGTGGTTCGGTCTGTGATGGTCAGGGTAAAGACTAAGGTTAGGGTTAAGGTTAGGGTTAAGGTTAAGGTTAAGGTTAGGGTTAGACTGCAGAAATTAATGGAAGACAAATGAAAGTCCCCACAAGTGATGAAAACACGAATGTGTGTTTATAAACCCTGTTGGTGACCTGATGATGACGCTGATCTTCGTTTCTCTTCCAGCTCCTGCTAAAGACATCGAGGCGGCGTTCCGGCCTGGTGGTGAGTCCTTCCCGATCCGTCCAGAGCCGGTCACCGGTTCTTCTCTGCAGCTTCTGTCCTCTGGAGGTCCTGCTGGTCCTGAATCAGATGGAGGTCCGGTCAGAAGAGTGACTGAGCTGGGGGGCCGGAGATGGGACCATATGGACCGTAGTGACCCGGTTCTGAACCGTCTGCTGATGCTCTCAGTGTTTTCCTTCGCTGAGTGGGCGGCCGAGTCGGCGTTTATGAATGTTACCTCTGAGGCCGGCCGGCTGGCAGCAGACCTTGGTCCAGCTGTGGATGTTTGTCTAAATGTTGAATCGCGTTGTACTGCAGCAGAAGAGCTGCAGATTCCTGATCACTTTAAAGCTGCAGCATGTCACTTATAGAAATAGAGTGACAGACTCTATTTATATAAGAGTCTTATCTCAATTTCATGTTAATCGTTTGACACAAGGTTTCTGTAAGCTTCGATGGGTTTAAATTTAAAATGTTTGAGCAGCAGAAGAGCTGCAGTCCGGTCCGGTAACCGAGCCCACTTGGCCTTTGGCTGAAGTCAAAGGTCAATTTGTTCATGATGACGTCAGCACAGGAACATGAAGTGATTTATTTAATTACAAAATAATTATATCTAGTTTTTGAACCAAATCAAGACATTTAACTGAGGCAAATATAAAAGATTCCACATTTTTTAAGTTATCAATTTGGAACTCTTCAGTCTCCATAGATCAGCCATAGAGGAAGGTCAGCCTGCAGCATCTCAACCGTATTTCCATCCAGACTTTGACTAGGCCACTCCAGGCTTAGGTTTGGGTCGTTCCTGATTAGCGCTTGGTGTTGCCTCTGTGTTTCTGTGGTTGCTGAACAGCAACGTGTTGCTAACGTCTCCATTTCTGTGTCTTCCTGCTCAACCTGATGCTTCTGGACGCCCAGCAGCTCTGAAGGTGAGATGTGAGCTTGGAGGCATCCAGTCCAGTCGCTCAACAAAGTTCTTGTGTTTCCTGAAGCGATGAGGTTAAAGGTGGATGTTGTGTTGCAGCAGGCGGGCAGCGAGGGAGAACTCTGCCCCGCCGACAGTCTGGGCTCTGCAGACAGCAGCAGCACCCTGGCTTCATCCGTTATAGAGGTGGAGACGGAACGGAGAGAACAGAGAGATCTGGAGGAGGTAGGGACGGAGAACGGGAGACAGAGAGGGATGGATGGACGCTTGGACTCACTGAATGTCTTTCTGTTGCAGGAGGAAGATGAGGAGGAGGCGGAGCTTACCGGCCTCAGAGCTCCGCCCACGCTGTCCATCACCGAGGAGATCCTGGAGTTCATCAACCAGAGCCGAGTCATGGAGGGACTCTCCACCACGGTTAGATCCGCTCCATGTTTCTCCTTCGGCCCATCAGAGGTAATCACTCGTGTCTACCTGATGTTCCAGAACCAGAACCAGGATCCTCCCGGTGAGGTCCGGTCTCCGGCTGACCCGACCGGTCCGCTGCCTCCCGTCGCCTCCAGTCCAGAGCAGAGACTCCTGGTTGAGCCAGACCAGGAAGAGGAAGACCTGAAGAACAGCATCACCGACCGAGATCCAGCTGACAAAGGTCCAGATGGTTCTGGTGAGGCGGCTGGGGTCAAAGGGGAGGAAGCAGCTGAGACAGGACCAGGAAGTGATGGTGAAGACGACCAAACCCCAGAGAAATCGTCATCATCAGATCTGCAGCCCCCCATAGAAGAAAACACCGACCGCCTCATGGAGACGGAACCGCAGAGTCCAGGTCCCATCCAGCCTGGTCCCATCCAGCCTGGTCCCATCCAGAGGTACCAGGCTCCCAAAAGAAGCTCCACCCTCACCAACAAGGACAAGAAGATCATCGAGAAGATCAGGAGCTACTACGAGGCCGCCGAGGCCGAGGAGGAGGAAGCTGAGGACGAAGAGGAGCAGCCAGAGGGAGCCACCACAAGAAGAAGAAGCAGTTTCTCCCAGATCCCCTCCGGCTTGGTGAAAGACTCTGTGTCGCGTTTTACCGAGAGCGGACGCCAGGTGGAGGCGGCGAGCGCGCAGCCCACGCTAGACAACGTGAAGGCAACCGAGGAATCCAGATCCGGTTCTTCCTCCCTTCCAGCCGACGTAGAGGAGCCGCTGAGGTTTCCGGAGGGGGAACCGGAGAGTCCGGGCCGCCCGTCCCGACCAAGTCAGAACCCGGAGCCCGGAGCATGTCCTGAACCGGAGACCCAGGAGGTCTGCAGAGGTTCTCCAGAGGAACCGGAGGAGGGAAAGAATGTGGCTGTGGAGACCACAGAAGAAGAAAGCTTGGCTCTTCCTGAGCATCCTGAGAAAAAAGACAAAGGAAGAACCATCGAGCCCCAACCGGGCCAGGCAGAACCCTCCATACACGGGCCGCACCAGGAACCGGGCCAAACAACCACACAGGCCAGAACCCAGTCCACCTGGTCCACAACCAAAACCAGGGACCCAAACCTGACGGAGAGCCCGGAGCGGTTCCCCAGTCAGAGCAAAGTGGGTCGGTGGTCCCGCCACTCCAAGATCGTCAGCGCCAACCGGGCCCTGTTTGAGGGGATGGGGTCCGACGTCACCGGTATCGGCCTGTTTGAGACGAACCCGGTGGTGGACCCGGTTCTGATGGAGAACTCTGAGCGTATTCTCAGCAAGGTCCAAACCCTGGCCCGCATGTACAGCGCCAAAGCCAGCGCCATGAAGGTACCGCTGCTGCACAAACGGGTCAGCATCATCAGAACCCAAGCATGGGTCTCACCGAGGCTGTCAGAACTTTCTGCTCAGAACCGGGACAAAAGTCCATCACAGCACGAAAAAGAGACCGAAGCCCAGACTGGTTCTGAAACCAAAACAGAGACCCACGCCTGCAACGGGCCCATCCAGAACCAGAACCAAGCTATGATCCAGGAGGGAAGGCCAGAACCCAGGACAGACGGTTGGTCCATTTTCAGTCGGGTTCTGTGAACACGAGAGCAGGAAGAATCATTCATCAGTAACTTCTGATCCAGAACCAGAACCGGATCCAGGTCTTCTTTAGCTAGCAGACCAGAACCAGGACCTGAGAGTTCTGGAGGGTTGGGTCGACCCTGCTGCAGTAATCGATGCCACTTTGGAACCGGCTTTATGTGGCTCTGCAGGTTCGGGTCAGAGGTCAGAGGTCATCCAGATCTCTAGTTTCCTGCAGTTTGTTGAGTATTTGAACAGTTCCAGTTCTGAATGGATCACAGGGAAGTTCTGAGATGATTCTTCTTGGTCCCGTTTTGAATCCACTACAACCGGACCTTTTAGAACCTTTAAGAACCGGACCTTTAAGAACCGGACCTTTAAGAACCGGACCTTTAAGAACTGGACCTTTAAGAACTGGACCTTTAAGAACTGGACCTTTAAGAACTGGACCTTTAAGAACCGGACCTTTAAGAACTGGACCTTTAAGAACTGGACCTTTAAGAACTGGACCTTTAAGAACTGGACCTTTAAGAACCGGACCTTTTAGAACCGGACCTTTAAGAACCGGACCTTTAAGAACTGGACCTTTAAGAACCGGACCTTTAAGAACTGGACCTTTAAGAACTGGACCTTTAAGAACTGGACCTTTAAGAACTGGACCTTTAAGAACTGGACCTTTAAGAACTGGACCTTTAAGAACTGGACCTTTAAGAACTGGACCTTTAAGAACTGGACCTTTAAGAACTGGACCTTTAAGAACTGGACCTTTAAGAACTGGACCTTTAAGAACTGGACCTTTAAGAACCGGACCTTTTAGAACCGGACCTTTAAGAACCGGACCTTTAAGAACTGGACCTTTAAGAACCGGACCTTTAAGAACTGGACCTTTAAGAACTGGACCTTTAAGAACTGGACCTTTAAGAACTGGACCTTTAAGAACCGGACCTTTAAGAACTGGACCTTTAAGAACCTTTAAGAACCGGACCTTTAAGAACCGGACCTTTAAGAACTGGACCTTTAAGAACCTTTAAGAACTGGACCTTTAAGAACTGGACCTTTAAGAACTGGACCTTTAAGAACTGGACCTTTAAGAACTGGACCTTTAAGAACTGGACCTTTAAGAACCGGACCTTTAAGAACTGGACCTTTAAGAACTGGACCTTTAAGAACCTTTAAGAACTGGACCTTTAAGAACCGGACCTTTTAGAACCTTTAAGAACTGGACCTTTAAGGACCTTTTAGAACTGGACCTTTTAGAACTGGACCTTTAAGGACCTTTAAGAACCGGACCTTTTAGAACTGGACCTTTAAGGACCTTTTAGAACTGGACCTTTTAGAACTGGACCTTTTAGAACTGGACCTTTAAGAACCGGACCTTTAAGAACTGGACCTTTAAGAACTGGACCTTTAAGAACTGGACCTTTAAGAACCTTTAAGAACCGGACCTTTAAGAACCGGACCTTTAAGAACTGGACCTTTAAGAACCGGACCTTTTAGAACTGGACCTTTAAGGACCTTTTAGAACTGGACCTTTTAGAACTGGACCTTTTAGAACTGGACCTTTAAGAACCGGACCTTTAAGAACTGGACCTTTAAGAACCGGACCTTTTAGAACTGGACCTTTAAGGACCTTTTAGAACTGGACCTTTTAGAACTGGACCTTTTAGAACTGGACCTTTAAGAACCGGACCTTTAAGAACTGGACCTTTAAGAACTGGACCTTTAAGAACTGGACCTTTAAGAACCTTTAAGAACCGGACCTTTAAGAACCGGACCTTTAAGAACTGGACCTTTAAGAACCGGACCTTTAAGAACTGGACCTTTAAGAACCTTTAAGAACCGGACCTTTAAGAACCTGACCTTTAAGAACTGGACCTTTAAGAACCGAACCTTTAAGAACCGGACCTTTAAGAACTGGACCTTTAAGAACCTTTAAGAACCGGACCTTTAAGAACCGGACCTTTAAGAACCGGACCTTTAAGAACTGGACCTTTAAGAACCGGACCTTTTAGAACTGGACCTTTAAGAACCGGACCTTTTAGAACTGGACCTTTAAGAACTGGACCTTTAAGAACCTTTAAGAACCGGACCTTTAAGAACTGGACCTTTAAGAACCGGACCTTTTAGAACTGGACCTTTAAGAACTGGACCTTTAAGAACCTTTAAGAACCGGACCTTTAAGAACCGGACCTTTAAGAACCGGACCTTTTAGAACTGGACCTTTTAGAACTGGACCTTTTAGAACTGGACCTTTAAGAACCGGACCTTTTAGAACTGGACCTTTAAGAACCGGACCTTTTAGAACTGGACCTTTAAGAACCGGACCTTTTAGAACTGGACCTTTAAGAACCGGACCTTTAAGAACTGGACCTTTAAGAACCGGACCTTTTAGAACCTTTAAGAACCGGACCTTTAAGGAACTTTAAGAACCGGACCTTTAAGAACTGGACCTTTAAGAACCGGACCTTTTAGAACTGGACCTTTTAGAACTGGACCTTTTAGAACTGGACCTTTAAGAACCGGACCTTTTAGAACCTTTAAGAACTGGACCTTTAAGAACCGGACCTTTAAGGACCTTTAAGAACCGGACCTTTAAGAACTGGACCTTTAAGAACCGGACCTTTTAGAACTGGACCTTTAAGAACCGGACCTTTTAGAACCTTTAAGAACTGGACCTTTAAGAACCGGACCTTTAAGGACCTTTAAGAACCGGACCTTTAAGAACTGGACCTTTTAGAACTGGACCTTTAAGAACCGGACCTTTTAGAACCTTTAAGAACTGGACCTTTAAGAACCGGACCTTTAAGAACCGGACCTTTAAGAACTGGACCTTTAAGAACCGGACCTTTTAGAACTGGACCTTTAAGAACCGGACCTTTTAGAACCTTTAAGAACTGGACCTTTAAGAACCGGACCTTTAAGGACCTTTAAGAACCGGACCTTTAAGAACTGGACCTTTAAGAACCGGACCTTTAAGAACTGGACCTTTTAGAACTGGACCTTTAAGAACCGGACCTTTTAGAACCTTTAAGAACTGGACCTTTAAGAACCGGACCTTTAAGGACCTTTAAGAACCGGACCTTTAAGAACTGGACCTTTAAGGACCTTTAAGAACCGGACCTTTAAGAACTGGACCTTTAAGAACCTTTAAGAACCGGACCTTTTAGAACCTTTAAGAACTGGACCTTTAAGAACCGGACCTTTAAGAACCGGACCTTTAAGAACCGGACCTTTTAGAACCTTTAAGAACTGGACCTTTAAGAACCGGACCTTTAAGGACCTTTAAGAACTGGACCTTTAAGAACCGGACCTTTAAGAACCGGACCTTTTAGAACCTTTAAGAACCGGACCTTTAAGAACCGGACCTTTTAGAACCGGACCTTTTAGAACCTTTAAGAACCGGACCTTTAAGAACTGGACCTTTTAGAACTGGACCTTTTAGAACCGGGTGTTTTCGGTTCTGCTCAGCAGGTTAATGTTTCTCAACCCGTTTCTGTCTCTAGTGCTGCAGCAGGAAGAGGCGTGGCCCAGTGTGACCCGGACCGTGGACCAGCAGAACTTTCTGCTCGGACCCAGAGGCTTCACCTGCTCCAGGACACCAGGAGAAGGTGATCAGAACCAGGCCGTGTCCTCCAGAACCGGGCCGCAGCCTGAGGAGCCGCAGGAAGCAGGCGGGTGAGTCCCTGAGAGCTGACCTCAAGGTCCAGTTCTCCAGATCAAGGTCGGACCCGCTCAGGTTTACCGTTCCTCCACCAGCGGGCCGGACCGGGACGAAGGGCGCCGTGTGGACGCAGCTGGAGGACGGCAGACGTCTGCAGACGTCTGCGCTCCGCCGGCGGTCGCCGGGGGAAGCGGACCCGACCGAGACGCGGCGGCTGGACGCCACGAGGCCGACGAGGCGGGTCGTTCTGAGTCGATCCCAAGAGAGTCCAGAACCACCGAGGAACCGGGCCCGAGTGAAGAACCGTCCCCAGAAGAGACGCAGAGGGAGGACGGGTCAGGACCGGCCGGATCCACTGAGCGGCCGGACCCGGTCGACCCGGTGGACCTTAAGATCGCCGCTGGTCCTCAGAAAGACGAAGCTCCGCCCAGTCCGTGTTTGGCCGGGGTCCACCGGGCCTCAGCGGTACCGTGGGAGCACAGGTACGTGACGTCAGAGCTGGAAATCAAACTGAGCGTCCAACACTTTGAGTTGGACACATAAAACCCAAACGAAGGAGAAAAATGTTGGTGCAGAAGCTCAAACATTTAATCTGATGCATTTCATCTGATATTCTGGTCTGAACATCAGAAATCAATCAGTGGAGCAACCAGGCGGTCCAGAGTTGTTCTCCTCATGGAGACATCGGGCCCAGTCTCTGTTCTGATCCACTAACCAGAACCAGCCGCCAACTTTCTGCATAATAACAAGGAATTTGATTTTGGTTCTGTTCTGCTCTGTCGCAAAAATCAAAACACAAAAATATGAAAAAGAACTTTTGTTCTTTTTGGTTTCATGAACACAGTCAGCCTGCCTGCTGCTCACCTTGGCATCCTGTCAGGTAGAAACTGCCTCTGTAGCGCCGCCCTGGAGGGGAAACACCAAACAGTTCATGTCCAGCATGTGTGGGGTCTGCAGAGGCCATAGCTTCCCGTTTTGTGACCCTTGACCTGTACCAGACCCGGATGGAGGGAAGCCAGCCTGTTGATGGTTCCCTGCAGTCTGGGCTGGTTCTGGTTCTGAGGATGACCCAAACAGACAGTGATGGACGAACGCAGGCCCGGCTGAGCAGAAGGCGACTCAGACGTGGGGCTCATCGTTGTTTGAGTCAGAAACATCAGATCTGCTTCCAGACGTTTCTCCTCTCTGCCAGTTGGAGCGAGATGAAGCAGACACTCCAGACGACTTCCTGATTGGATCAATCGGTCTGTTCCCTGTTGAGGTCAAAGGTTGGCTTGAAACCCGATAATATGAACCTCACCAACATGCGCCTCCTCACAGCAAGACACTAACTCAGGGATGGCCAACCCGCGGCTCGCGAGCCGCATGCGGCTCCATGACCGGTTCCATGACCGGTTCCATGACCGGCTCCATGCGGCTCCATGACCGGTTCCATGACCGGTTCCATGACCGGTTCCATGACCGGTTCCATGACCGGTTCCATGACCGGTTCCATGCGGTTCCATGACCGGTTCCATGCGGTTCCATGACCGGTTCCATGCGGTTCCATGACCGGTTCCATGACCGGTTCCATGCGGTTCCATGCGGTTCCATGACCGGTTCCATGACCGGTTCCATGCGGCTCTTGTGTTCATACAGTCTCATTCTGCCAGACGTGCAGTGATGACCAGAAGTAGTCAAATGTCATTTATTGACAGCAGCAGCGCGCCATTACTGTTGGCCGTAACCACGGCAAAACAACACAAACAAAAAACAGTCTTTGTTTCTCTTGCAGCTTCACTGAGAGAAAGTCGTTCTGCTGAACGCTCTCTCCCCTCGCTCTCATCCATCCTGATGCATTCGCGGACAATGAGAAATCATACACTCTAATTTAAATCTCTAAACAGCGTAACATCCAGTAACATTTAGCACATACTGTAGGGTCGCTATAATATCCAAGTTTCGCTTCGCTTGAGTTCAATACGGTGTTTCTGTCAAATGCGCATGTGAGCAGCTTTTCAGTGAGAGTAAAATCGTTTGAGTAAACCTTTCGCACTCAAAATGGCAGGAAAACGAAAACATGAAGATGAACACAGGACGTTTTTGACAGAGTGGGAGAATTGATCATTTTTGTTGAACGTAGTGGAAAGCCATTCTGCCTTCTATGTCAGGTGTCCTTGTTGCATTTGAAGGCTTCAAACCTTCAGCGCCACTTCATTAAATAACACATGTAATGCACATGATATACGGAGCCCCTGAAGGGACATGGGGATTTTTTTCTTTTGTGTCCCCATGCGAGGTCACGCAAAAGAAAAAAAACCCTGTGTCCCCTAGGGGGCTCCGTAACAATAAAAGGAAAAATGAATTGTAAATTGTTCTATTATTGTTTGGTTAAACAGTTTGTTTGCATGAGAAAGTGCACAGTGTTCATTGTTGAAAATGTCTGGCCTGTGGTCTTTGCAGTGTTAAAATAGTGTGTGAAAATAATAAATCTGGCTATGAGAGTATGAGGAAGGGATGGGTTAATGTTCATGTGTCCTCATGCATATGATGCGGCTCTTTGCACTAACTTGGTAAAAAATGTGGCTCTTGGTCTTTGTCTGGTTGGCCACCCCTGCACTAACTCAACCTTTTCTTCATTAATGCCTTTTACAGTCAGTTTGTTTTCCTGGGTTCCTTCAGATCAAATGTGTGACTGATGTTGGTGAGGGCTTCGTCCCGGAGCGCGGCAGTCAGCGGCCTTTCTCCTTGAAGTCGGCTGGAAGCAGAGGAACAGGCTGAAGTGATTTATCTCCACATGTGGAACATATAATATCTTCAGTCCTGCCAATTCTGACTTTTCATTCCCACCGAGGAGAAGGAGAAATGCCTCAAGCTGCACAGATTAAGTTTTTAGTTTACTGAACAATTAATGGAAACATTGAGAAAGAACAAGGACAAAACCTCTCAAACCTTCAACCTACAGCTTGGTTGATTCCTGGGGGCAGAAATTCCAGGATTGGAGGCTGAAAGTGAATGTTTGTTCACTGCTCCGTTCAGTTTCATCTCCTCCTCTGCTGCTGGAATGTAGCTGAACCAGAATATCACACGCTGCGTTCCAAGGGTTCAGCTATGGGTCAGTTATGTTGTGACTCATCAGTGGTTCATCCAGGCTGGAGGTGATTCTGTAATCACAGCCCAAACTGGGAGGTTCAGCTGCAGTTCACAGACTGCAGAACGTTCTGTGTTCTGCTCAGTGTCTGGTCTCAGTTTCCCTCTTAACTTTATGTCGTTGTTGTTGTTTTCAGGAAGCCAGACGAGCCGCTGTCTGAATCGCCCCTCAGGACAACAAGCACCGTCCCCTCAGTCTTCAACGTCAGCGTCCTCCATCGCTCCCCTTCTCCTCTAAGATCTGCCAGCGCCTCCGCAGTCCGAGCCCCTCCCTGCTCCTCGCCCTTCAGGCACATCCCAGGGTCCTCCCCTACTCCAGCATCTCCTGCAGTCTTCTCCTCAGCTCTGTCCTGTTTGTCCCCCAGTCTCTCTGCCGTTTCCTCTGTCAGAAGCCCAACTCCATCTCTTCCTGTGTGTGGAAACGCTTCATCATCAAGAGGAACAGCTTCCTCTCCAACGCCTCCCCTCCATTCTCCAACTTGTTCCTCCTCAGCGTTTTCCAGATCTCTAGCTGCCTCACACATCAGCCAGTCCATCAGTCAGAGTATGTCTAAGAAAGGACAACAAGCGCCGACCATAAAGCTGATGAATCCGAGTCCTTCCTCCACTCCGGATCTGCGACGGCGCACACCTTCACCGAACCCTCCTGCAGCTCAGCTCGGCCCGGCGCCGGCTTATACCCACCTAGGGTGCACTAAGGAGGGGTACCAACATCCCAGATGTCCCCCGTCCTCGGTCCGGTCCTCATGTCTGTCTCCACCTTCGGTTCCTCACTGCCCTCCCTCTCCGTCAGCAGGCCTTCGTCAGCCTCGCTGCTCCTCCCCTTCACCACGGCCTTCCTTCCTTCACTCCAAAAGTGCTTCACCACAACTTGGCAAGAAGAACAGCAACAACAACAACTCTGCTGGGTATGTAGGGGACGCTGTCAGTAATGGAGGCTGCTTCGGGGCTGATGGCCGTACCGAACCCCTCCAGAGTCAGTATCCTCTGTGGTTCGGATCTCACAACCGTGTAGCGCGGCCATTTTCTGCGTCTGAACCCAGCTCACGAGTTCAATCTCCAACTCCCTCCCCAACTCCAGCATCATTTGTTCGCCTCTACTCCCCACCACAGCATAACTACTCCTCCCCCATGGCGAACAAGCCCCCAAACCCCCGGAGTTCACGGGTCGGCGGTTCCCACAATCACCTGGACCTCCGTTTGGACCTACCAAGGGCTTCCTCTGATGGCTCCAGTTGTGGTGATTCCTCTGCGTGCGTGAGCCCCCGGATACTCTCCCCTCCTCCTATTGGGGTCCCAGTTTGGACAAATAATGTAGCAGCACCTCAACCCAGGAACCTTCGCCATTCAGCTTCGCCTTCCTTGTTTTCGTCCACTTCAGGATCTCAAACGTACAGGAGTCCTTCCTCCCCTCTTCCTTCCCAAATCGTCCGCAGGACCCTTTCCTCCACCCTTTCAGACAGACCTTCAAGTCCAGCCCGGAGCGCACAGCGTCGTTCCTGGGCGGACTTCGGCCAAAGATCCCTCGGCTTCACTGGATCCATCCGAGGATCCTTTGAACAGCAGGAGTCCTGTCCGATTAGTCCAAGCAGCGGGTGGACCTCCCACAGCAGCTCCCCGACCTGCCTGAGCCCTCGAGCCGGTCTGCAGTGCCCCGTCTCCCCAACCAGGTTAACCTCTGGTAAGGGTGCTATTAGTGGGCAACATTTCACCAGCGTCCCTTGGCCAGATGTCCGAGAGTTGTCAAGCAAATACAACGGAGAAGACAGTCCAGAAACAAGTGTGAGTCCCACTGTGTCCATGTCTCCAGGACATCTCATCCCTTCGCCGTGTCCAACAGACGGCCAGACTGACTGGGCCAACCCACAACTGGAGGAGGGAAGCTGTCGCACTCGGCTGATTTGTGCTTACGTCACCCGGCCCTCTCACCTGCAAACCGTTTCCTCCTCGTCATGCCTGATCTTCTCCCCGTCTGGGTTGACCTCCCCTCCACCGGAGTCACAGCAGCTCCACGGCCTCCCGGTCCAGAGGCAAGCTCAGGTCACTGCCTCTCCCCCTCCATCCTCAACGCTCTCCCCATCACGCAGCATACTGTCCCCGTTGCCCAAACAGGGGAGCCAGAAGCCCAGTTATGCCACCACAGTGAACCTCCAGATCGCTGGAAGCGGCCGAATAACCTCGTACAGCACCGCCCAGGTTAGCCTGACTCAAACCCTGCAGGGCGGAGCCGGTCCTCCGGGGAGCCAGGACCAGATGGCGAGAAGGTTGAGCGTCAACGGATTCTCCCCCGTTCCTCAGGGGTGCAACAGGCCATGACGGGAAGAACGTCGGCCATGGATCCGTTTCTGAGAACTAGCAGGATGGAGAACGATGGCTTGGGGAAAAACTGTAAGGACAACATCTTTAGTTGCTGGTCAAGACCCTCTGGATCTGGTCCTAATCTGGACCTGACCTAAACAGGAGGACATGTGGTTCAGATTTCCACATCAGTGCGTTTCAGTTGGTTGCGAACTGAAAAGACCATTTTGAATCTGAAGAGGTTTACTCGCACATGGATCACAAAGCTTTTGGGGTCCAAAGAAATCCACACAATTTAACGCTGGACATGAAGACCTGGGATGTCATGGACAGGTTGAAAGTTGAATTTCTGAAAGAAAGGCTCCCTAAAACGAGAGTTTTAATGTTCTTTGGCTCATGTTGGAGAGCAGGAGGACCTCTGAAAGGACGACTCCTGGAAGTTTTGCATTATTTTATTCTGTAACAACCTGTAACTTTTTTAATTTCTTTTATTCCTGTTTTTATTTATGAAGTTAGTCTCCTCCTTTTGGCACTTAATCTCCTGAAAGTCCTCTTGGTATTTTTGCACAGAGTTCTTTTTAAATGACGAGTCTGCAGGTTCTCAGAGGACTTCAGACCAAACTTGTTTCTGTTTATGGTTTCGTGTTGCTCTCAGCACTGCAGCTCGTTCAGATGTTCTCATACATCTTCCAGCTGTGTGAACAAATACTGTCATCATATCGGTTACATCAGGTCTAATGCATGTTGGGTTTGTTCTGGTCCGGAGGCTCGATGTCCACCAGGCTGCTGGAGACCAACTGGGATCTTTGTGACAGAAAGAAATAAAAACTAGTATCTCCATCTTGGTGTCCCAGAGGTTTGAGTGAAATGTGATGTTTTGTCTGCAAGTCTTAACAGATGCATGAGATAAATTCCACATAAAGCCTGCATTTCCTGCAACACGCGAATGCAAACTGCTGGCCGTAAAGATCTAAAGTGTCCAGCTGATAATCCTGAGAGGCGTTGTGCCTGTAAGAGGACACTGAACCATGGAGCTCTGATAACAGGCAGCAGTTTCAGTTTTACTGGACGTCTGGCAGTCTTTGACCTGCAGCTGCTGGTCATTAATACATTTCACAGATTTAAGCTCCTGTGATCTGGTCATTGTGGTTATACTCAGACCCGTTGTTGTATAAACGGGTCTGGGTGTGTGAGTAGGAGCCATCATTGTAAGTGTTGGGCCCTGCTAGCTAAAAAACTAGCTGCGCTAGCCCTAAAACTATTGGCATAAACATTAATTCCACTGATTCTAAAGGGCTATACCAACACGGTAGCTAGTGGAAGCTAATGCTCCGCTAAATACCACATGCTTCCACATTTAGCAGAAGCTAATGCTAAAGGGCTATCCCAACACAGTATTTAGGGAAGCTAGAGGTAAAGTGCTATCTCCAACCATACTGACATCCACCATGTGTCAAATGTGTTGCACACTAACATGGCACCTAAGCAGGGTCAACTTCACCTGCAGTTGCTGAGTTTTGCTAACTGCTAGCTCTGTTGCTGACTTTGCCAAATCCACTGTACCCAGATGCATTCTGGGTACAGAAAAACATTGGCTACACTGCATCTGGGTGGAGAACATGAGTAAAGGAACTGCTGCATAAACAGACTTCAAAATAAGAGCATGAATATAAATGTCTATTTGAGGAATTCCTTATAGTTGAAAACCAAAACTTCAACACAGATGTTTCACTTTATTAAACTGAAATTTTACCTAACAGATGACTGAGCACAAGTAAATTTTACATTTAAGCTAATATTGTACTAACATAGCATAGCGGAAGCTAATGCTACATTGCTAAACTCAAGCCAGTAGAAGCAGCTTCTGCCGGTCCAATCTCAGAAACCCTGCCCAGGCCAACAGCAGGCAGAACCCCAAACTCAACATGAAGAACCAACAGTCAGAATGGGTCTGGGTCGGGTTCTGGTCGGGTTCTGGTCAGGTCTCAGTAACTAGCTGAAGCTAAATTGCAGCAGCTGTTAGCTAAGATGACAGTCATAGACAAGTTCATCTGAAATTACATTTAAACAAACTTTTAATTGCAAATTATTTTTAAAGCAATAAATTTATTTCTGCTTTCTCAGAGAAGATGGTTAAAAAATATCACCTTGACATTTTACTTAAATATGCATCTAAAAATGATGTGGTCCACTGCTAACTGCTGAGTGGCTTTTGCAGCATAAATTAATATCAGCATCATAAATTAATATCAGCATCATAAATTGTCATGGTTGAAGCAACACGCCTGACCCACATGCAGGCGCACAAACAAGGTAAATGAATAAAGTTTATTGGAAGGAAAAATGAGAGTCTGGGATGTGTCTGGGGGTCCTTGGGTCGTCACTGCACTAAATACAGGGAGAGAAGTGGTTAGTGAAAGAATACGGATCACCAACAGGGTTCAGGACGGGCTTACTGGTGGGGTTAGAGGTCTCAGCTGGGAAGGGGGGTGACTGAGTGGAGGAGGGGTCCGGTCCGGATCCGATGGTGGGTGGCTGATGGATTAGTCGTAGGAGGGCGGGCAGGAAGAGAGCGGGTTTCGGCCAGTCTCAGCGGTTCTTGAGTTGGACTAGAAGATCTCGGGAAGTGCTTCTCCTCAGCTCCACGAGAGGAAACCCTGTGAGGAAATATATCACAAATAATCTCAGGCTTGCTTGAATCGCTTACAAAAATAAACACCGACACAAGTTCAGTGGGGCTCTGAGTACCATTGGAGGTTAACACTCAAGTCTCTATCAGTACCTGCCAGTCTCTGCCAGTCTCTGTCAGTCTGTGCCAGTACCTGCCAGTCTCTGCCAGTCTCTGTCAGTCTCTGTCAGTCTCTGTCAGTCTCTGTCAGTCTCTGTCAGTCTCTGCCAGTCTCTGCACATCTCCTGACTTCTTTATGCCTCATATCTGTTTTCCTGCTAGTATTGTGGCTGATATTGGTGGGAGGAACATCAGGATGGTGTTCGTGCTCCAGTGGAGGAGAGAGAAGATGCTAAGCCGACTGCCATCTTCATTCTGGGTCTCCATCCCAGTCAAGACCATCTCTGCCATCCATCCTTGCTTTCACACACCCAAATATAGAGCTCTATATGAACATCTTTTTTTGTTTTGCTTGCCAGCTTCATTTATACCATAAAGGTTTTCTCCCTGAGATATAAATTGTGTCCTATTGTGTTTCACATTTATAAGGTTTTCCTCTGTTGGTTCTTCACTCATGTTTGGGAGTGAATGTTGTTCTGTTGATGTGTTTGATGTAATCTGACTGAACGTGTTTCAGTCCAGTAATGTGTAATAAATAACTGGTTGATAGTAAACTGCCGTCTGAACCCGAGTGAATTCTATTCCTTGGTTACAGAAGCATCTCCAGCAGGTCCATGTTACTGAGTTTGACCCCGTTCTGTGACCTTTAACCTGTGGACGTGATTATGATGAAAACGTGTCAAAAAGACCAGGAGCCATCATCATCATCATCATCACTGGACCAGAGACTGAACTCTGCATGTTGATGACGGCCTCGTATTATTTTGTCGCTAAGCTAATGGTTGCTAATTTAGCCGCTAACGAGCTTCATCTGCTAACAGTTGTTCCTGTTGCTCTGGGCCACCTGGTTCTGTTGGGTCCCATAATGACATCATAGCAACAACATTGACTGTCAAGGTAAGAAGATAAACGTTCATTTCCTTTATAATAATTATAATCATGATTATTATTATAATCATGATTATAATAATCATTATTATAATAATGATTATAATAATAATCATGATTATTATAATAATAATGATTATTATTATAATAATGATTATATAATCATTATAATAATAATGATTATAATAATAATCATGATTATTATAATAATCATGATTATTATTATAATCATGATTATAATAATAATCATGATTATTATTATAATCATGATTATTATAATAATCATGATTATTATTATAATCATGATTATTATTATAATCATGATTATTATAATGATTAGAGAGACATGATGATACGTGTGTGACCGTTGGTAACTATGGAGACGGTGCACCATCATGGAAACTGGCCAGCATCCGATCATTTGATCAATTCGTCAGGAGGTTCGGGTCGGTTCTGTAAATCCCTCCTCTATGAGCCCAACAGGTTCGGGTCGGTTCTGCTCCTCTATGACCCACAGCCTACGTTCACCTGGTTCAGCTCCAACCGGAGAAACCATGAAGAAACTGGCCAAACAAGCTCTGTTCAGTTCTCCTCACGTCCAACCTCCTTTATGGCAAAGGGTCAACAGGTCAACGGGTCAACAGGTCAACAGGGTCAACAGGTCAACAGGGTCAACAGGGTCAACGGGTCAACAGGTCAACAGGTCAACAGGTCAACAGGGTCAACAGGGTCAACGGGTCAACAGGTCAACAGGGTCAACAGGTCAACAGGGTCAACAGGGTCAACAGGGTCAACAGGGTCAACGGGTCAACAGGGTCAACAGGTCAACAGGTCAACAGGGTCAACGGGTCAACAGGTCAACAGGGTCAACAGGTCAACAGGTCAACAGGGTCAACAGGTCAACAGGGTCAACAGGGTCAACAGGGTCAACAGGGTCAACGGGTCAACAGGTCAACAGGGTCAACGGGTCAACAGGTCAACAGGGTCAACAGGTCAACAGGTCAACAGGGTCAACAGGGTCAACGGGTCAACAGGTCAACAGGGTCAACAGGTCAACAGGGTCAACGGGTCAACAGGGTCAACAGGGTCAACAGGGTCAACGGGTCAACAGGTCAACAGGGTCAACGGGTCAACAGGTCAACAGGGTCAACAGGTCAACAGGTCAACAGGGTCAACGGGTCAACAGGTCAACAGGGTCAACAGGTCAACAGGGTCAACAGGTCAACAGGGTCAACGGGTCAACAGGGTCAACAGGGTCAACAGGTCAACAGGGTCAACAGGGTCAACGGGTCAACAGGTCAACAGGGTCAACGGGTCAACAGGTCAACAGGGTCAACGGGTCAACAGGGTCAACAGGGTCAACAGGTCAACAGGGTCAACAGGGTCAACAGGTCAACAGGGTCAACAGGTCAACAGGGTCAACAGGGTCAACAGGTCAACAGGGTCAACAGGGTCAACAGGTCAACAGGGTCAACAGGTCAACAGGGTCAACAGGGTCAACAGGGTCAACAGGTCAACAGGGTCAACAGGTCAACAGGGTCAACAGGGTCAACGGGTCAACAGGGTCAACGGGTCAACAGGGTCAACGGGTCAACACGGTCAACAGGTCAACAGGGTCAACAGGGTCAACAGGTCAACAGGGTCAACAGGGTCAACGGGTCAACAGGTCAACAGGGTCAACGGGTCAACAGGGTCAACGGGTCAACAGGGTCAACAGGTCAACAGGGTCAACAGGGTCAACAGGTCAACGGGTCAACAGGGTCAACAGGGTCAACGGGTCAACAGGGTCAACAGGTCAACAGGTCAACAGGTCAACAGGGTCAACAGGTCAACAGGGTCAATGGGTCAATGGGTCAACAGGGTCAATGGGTCAACTGGTCAACAGGTCAACAGGGTCAACAGGTCAACAGGGTCAACAGGGTCAACGGGTCAACAGGTCAACAGGGTCAACAGGTCAACAGGGTCAACAGGGTCAGCCCCACATGTCACCCAAACAGAACCATGTGGGCCAATCATCACTGTTTGGTCTTTGCTTAGTTTATGACAAACAACTAATTATTTGAATGTGTTTCCAGTCAGACTGAAAAAAAAAATCTGTTGATCACAGAGTGGAGAAAAAAACATCCTTTCAAAGGAAACTGTTGGACAAAATTGATGGGAAATTATATAAGGGACTATTAATGTTAGAAGAGGAGGAGGAAGAGGAGGAGGAAGAGGAGGAGGAAGAGGAGGAGAAATGAAAGAGTGGGAGGAGTGAGAAAATAAAAGCTACAAAGCGAGAGAAGAAAAGTGGCAGAGAAACGACTGAAGCTCCAAACATTCACCTTTTAAACTGGGAACGCAGGAAGACAGAGACCTGCAGAGGACAGACAGAGACCTGCAGAGGACAGACAGAGACCTGCAGAGGACAGACAGAGACCTGCAGAGGACAGACAGAGACCTGCAGAGGACAGACAGAGACCTGCAGAGGACAGACAGAGACCTGCAGAGGACAGACAGAGACCTGCAGAGGACAGACAGAGACCTGCAGAGGACAGACAGAGACCTGCAGAGGACAGACAGAGACCTGCAGAGGACAGACATCTGGACATGCAGACTTTCTGGATGTTCCGTTGAAGCCTGGAACAGAACCTGGGTTTCCTGGAGGGATGAGCTGAAGGTTCTGGAGTGAGTGAGATCGACCCGTTTGAGGTTCCCCTGACTGGACGCCTGCCAGCTGTCCTGGGATTGAACCGGGCAACCAGTGGGAGCGTTTCAGCCCGGTCCCACGGGGTTCTGGTCCCGCGGGGTTCTGGTCCTGGCCGGGCCCGGCTCCGGCCCAGGATGCGGAGCTGAGGCTGCAGCAGCATCAGATGATGGTTCTGCCATGCTGAGCGGCGGTCCAGTTCTGGTGTTTCTGTGGTCTGTGTGTCTGCTGGCGGCACCGAACCGAACCCGCAGGAGGGACCTCTGCTCTCTGGACCGGATCAAGAAGGTTGAGTCACTCAACAACATGCTGCCAACGCAGGTGAGGCTCAGAACCGGGCCGCAGAGTTCTGCAGATTTATGGGATGGTTTATCTTGGGTCTGTGATTTATCAGCTGCTCATCTTTAGACGCTGCACTCGGGTAAATGAGTGACAGCAGAGCGGAGCAAAGATCACCTCCATCTGGTCTCTGTGCTGCTGAAGCGAACCGGACCGAACCGGGTCATTCTTCAACAAATGGATCTATCCACATCCACCCAGCTCAGGAAAAGCATGAACTCAGAAAAAACTGCAAAATGAAACAAAATCCAGAAAAAACTTGTTCAGAACCGAGAAGAACGGCCCATTTGGGCCGAGACCATCGTGGCGCTTCAACTAATGTCCGCCTGGTCTGCCCTCTAGTGGCTGCTTGAAACCCTGCAGCTGGGTTCGGTCCGATGTGTTTGAGCTGAACTGGGTCTCAGCAGCACATGTTCAATTTGTAACTCGTGTCTTCAGAGACGTGTCGCATCACCTCACCTTTAGCCAGACATTTTCCCACGTTCAGCTGCGTCTTTCCTGTTTCAGCGTCTGGAGATATTAGCAACGGAAACCTGGTCAAATCTGTTGGTCAGAAAGCTGAGCAGAGAGACGTTGGAGTAGGGGATAAGCCTGATGGATGGAAGAGAAGCTTCATCCATGAAGCTGCTGCCAAACACACAAAACCGCAACCAGGAGAAAAAACTTTCAGCAAAGAAACAAAGAGCAGATCTGCTCCAACATGCTGCGTGTTCGAGTCCCAAGATGAAGCCATGAATGTTTATTTTGTAAAGACATCTGAAGGTTTCCTCCGTCTGTTTGCTACGTCTGAAACAAGTGGAGGCAAAACTCAGAACGCGGCTCACTGCTGTCAACTCAATATGCAAAACGTCTTTTGTCCACAAATGACATCATATTTTTACAAGCTATTGTGCTGCCCGTCAGATGATGTCTCCCCGGGCGAAGAGCCCTGAATGCATGTGCCCACTTTGTGCTCATACTGATGAAACTTGATGTGTTGTGCAGCGTTTTCAGTGTTTTGTGGTAATTGTGAAGTATTGCTGCGTCTCCATGCTCTGATGTTGTTTGATGAACCGGAGCAAACAGACTTCAGGCACAAATTTGAATAATCATCACCAAACCCGCCCAGACTGGACGGGTTTGGACCTGTTTCAGTTCAGTTTTATCTGTAACAGGATCTGAGCTGCTGGTTGGTGTTGATGAGTCGCATTCAGAGACAAGTTTCAACTGCAATCTAAGAAACAGAGGACGGCCTGAGGGAACATGGCAGCAATCAGTCGTTCTGATGCTGAGGCATCGCTCCTCTGGCGGGTCAGAAATCCTTCGGGTTCTGCTGCCTGACCCGGTACCGATCCGGACTCTCATGTTGAAGTTTAAACTTTCTATGAATGAACTGATCCTGGATCACAGCCTTCAGTCAACGTGAAACGTTTGGCAGGACTGAAGATTCTCCACAAGAAGGCGCTGTGACAGCACACCTAGAAACTGGTGGACTGGGGTCAAAGGTCAGCAAAGGTGACCTTAAGAGGAGACCTAAGCAATGTGGTCCAATCAAGGTGATCAAACATTTCCATCTCCAGTGATCAATCAACAAATGCTAATTTGCTAATTAGCATTAGCCATTTTCTTCTAACTTTGACAACATTTCGCTCTCAGCTTCCCTGAAAGTGATTTTTCCAAATGAATTCTAAAGTGCTCATTTTTGTAGTTTGGATCTGTTCGGGTTTGAATCTCCTGCTGCTTTCTGACTGCAGCCAGTTAGGCTAATTTAGCAACCGTTAGCAAAACTCAACAATGAGACTGAAAAGTTGTCTCCAAAGAATCACTTCTTGCTAATTTGTATATGCTAACAGGTTTGACTCTGTAGAGGGCGAAAGAGGACATGTTGGGTCTTCGATGCATGTTGAGGAACAATCTGGACGAATTAAATGCTTCAGTATTGAATTCTTGGTCGATGTGGAGGAGAAGGAACGTCTGATTGGAGCTGCAGGTTTAGCACAGCTGGTTTTTAGCTAGCAGTGCTCATCATTGCTCATCTCCAGGCCAAATGTTTCTGATTGTTGACGCTGGCCCGCGGGCCGGGTCCTCCTGACCCGGCTCGGGTCCTCCTGACCCGGCCCGGGTCCTCCTGACCCGGCTCGGGTCCTCCTGACCCGGCCCGGGTCCTCCTGACCCGGCTCGGGTCCTCCTGACCCGGCCCGGGTCCTCCTGACCCGGCTCGGGACCTCCTGACCCGGCTCGGGACCTCCTGACCCGGGCCGCAGCTCGGGTCTCTAGGATCAGGTCTGGACCTTTGACCGAAGCTGGAGAAGGAAAGTCCAGCAAACAGAAACACTGGAACCAGATTTATTCCAGAACAGCAACGTGTTTCTGATTTGTGAAGTGAAGCTGGTCCGATGTTTTGAGCCTCGCTCTGTGAAACTAAACATGATCTGTTGCTCATGTTTATCTTTGTCCTCCAAAATATTTCAGTCATTTCTTCATATTTTCCTCTGAGCAGCCAAACGTTCCTAAATATCTCAAAGCCCAACGCGTCTGATCAGAGCGCAGAGTTTCTGTAATCTAGCAGATTTGGTTTTTATCGGCCATTTTATGCGGCGCTGCTCCGGTTCCTGTGAATATCAACACATCCAACTGTTGCTCTTTGTGGCTCAGACACTTTTCAGCAGGTCAAGGAATCGGTTCTGACCCGGTTATGTCAGGAACAATCTGGAACAACTCCAGAACCAGAGCATCTCTGAGACAGAAATCACGTTTCTATGGTTTTTCAAATAGTTCATTTTGCATTTATTGAATTGTAAATATAAAATGCAGATGTTTGGTTTCTCCACAGATGGACTTGAGTCTTTACACGCCTTCAGTTGACGACTACAAGGTGAGTTGCTCTGCAGCCTGGACCTCCTGCTGGGTCACGATGCAGATCTCTGCTTCTTCCCCCTTAAATTGGAACCAGCTGCAGAAAACCTCAAGTTGAAGAGACGGTCTATCTAAAGCCACTCTTCATCACTTTTCAATCATTTTTCTAAATGCTTTAACATTAAGTTGTATTTATTCCTGTTTCTGTGTGTTGTTACTTCTCTTATTTCTGATCTGGATTTCATTGGGTTTCGATGACTTTACTTGTTTGTAGTCGTTTCTAATTGTTGGTGTTGAAACAGATTTTAATCTCAGAGACTTTCCAGCTTAGATCATTGAAGTTTCCAGAAAGACCTGCAGCGTTTAGTGGGCGAAGCTTCATCCTATCACTGTGAGAATCCAACATGGCTGACGGTTCATGATGTGCATGAACAGTTTCATGATCCAGGCCATTTGCTCCTTCAGTTTCCTAAACTTGTGTCTCAGTGTAATGAAAGCAGCAGCCTGGCTCTCTCCGGTCCACTCAGAGCAGGAAGTCTCCCAGAACGTCTGAGCTCTGAACATAAACAAGTTTCACCTCCTGACTCTGGAAAGTGCAGAAGCTGAGATTGACTTTGGCGGCAGCAGAAGAGGCGAAGCTTATCGGCACAGAACAATGAACACGGCGGGGCGGTTCACTGGCTGCAGGCTCCACGTCTTCATTCCTCAACATGTGGATCAGCCACTGATCACAGCTTCAGGCTTTACGCTCTGCTGCCTCTAAATGGAGGATTAATGCAGCAACAGTTTCATCTCAGGCTGCAGACAGAGTTCAGGGAAGTGGAGGGTTCTGCTTCAGCTCCGATCAGAACCACAAAGCTGCTCCAGACAGGAAGGATTTATCAGACAGACCTTCTGCTTCCCATCCTGATAAACCCATCCAGTGCCCGGCTGACCCAGCAGGGGTCATAAGGTCACCAGGTCACACCCAGGGTCCAATCTCTACTCGTTTTTGCCTCCATTAGAAGTTGTGCACAAGCTGCTGCCATCGCTTCTTCCTCGTCGGCCATCTTTGGTTCAACTTGTTTGGTCTTCAGAGATTTTGACTTTTACCATCTGACATGTGAATGTTGGTGAGGACCTGGAGTCTGTTCAAAAACCATGTGAAGCTGGAGATGCACATGTTCCAACATGAGTCCACATGTTCCAACATGAGTCCACATGTTCCAACATGAGTCCACATGTTCCAACATGAGTCCACATGTTCCAACATGAGTCCGCATGTTCCAACATGGGTCCACATGTTCCAACATGAGTCCGCATGTTCCAACATGAGTCCGCATGTTCCAACATGAGTCCGCATGTTCCAACATGGGTCCACATGTTCCAACATGGGTCCACATGTTCCAACATGAGTCCACATGTTCCAACATGGGTCCACATGTTCCAACATGAGTCCGCATGTTCCAACATGGGTCCACATGTTCCAACATGAGTCCACATGTTCCAACATGAGTCCACATGTTCCAACATGAGTCCACATGTTCCAACATGAGTCCGCATGTTCCAACATGAGTCCGCATGTTCCAACATGGGTCCACATGTTCCAACATGAGTCCACATGTTCCAACATGAGTCCACATGTTCCAACATGAGTCCGCATGTTCCAACATGAGTCCACATGTTCCAACATGAGTCCACATGTTCCAACATGAGTCCGCATGTTCCAACATGGGTCCACATGTTCCAACATGAGTCCACATGTTCCAACATGAGTCCGCATGTTCCAACATGAGTCCGCATGTTCCAACATGGGTCCACATGTTCCAACATGAGTCCACATGTTCCAACATGAGTCCACATGTTCCAACATGAGTCCACATGTTCCAACATGAGTCCACATGTTCCAACATGAGTCCGCATGTTCCAACATGAGTCCGCATGTTCCAACATGAGTCCGCATGTTCCAACATGGGTCCACATGTTCCAACATAAGTCCGCATGTTCCAACATGAGTCCGCATGTTCCAACATGGGTCCGCATGTTCCAACATGGGTCCACATGTTCCAACATGAGTCCACATGTTCCAACATGAGTCCACATGTTCCAACATGAGTCCACATGTTCCAACATGAGTCCGCATGTTCCAACATGAGTCCGCATGTTCCAACATGGGTCCACATGTTCCAACATGAGTCCACATGTTCCAACATGAGTCCGCATGTTCCAACATGAGTCCGCATGTTCCAACATGGGTCCACATGTTCCAACATGAGTCCACATGTTCCAACATGAGTCCACATGTTCCAACATGAGTCCGCATGTTCCAACATGGGTCCACATGTTCCAACATGGGTCCACATGTTCCAACATGAGTCCACATGTTCCAACATGAGTCCGCATGTTCCAACATGAGTCCGCATGTTCCAACATGAGTCCACATGTTCCAACATGAGTCCCCATGTTCCAACATGAGTCCACATGTTCCAACATGAGTCCACATGTTCCAACATGAGTCCACATGTTCCAACATGGGTCCACATGTTCCAACATGAGTCCACATGTTCCAACATGAGTCCGCATGTTCCAACATGAGTCCACATGTTCCAACATGGGTCCACATGTTCCAACATGAGTCCGCATGTTCCAACATGAGTCCGCATGTTCCAACATGAGTCCACATGTTCCAACATGAGTCCGCATGTTCCAACATGAGTCCACATGTTCCAACATGAGTCCACATGTTCCAACATGAGTCCACATGTTCCAACATGAGTCCGCATGTTCCAACATGAGTCCACATGTTCCAACATGGGTCCACATGTTCCAACATGGGTCCACATGTTCCAACATGAGTCCACATGTTCCAACATGAGTCCACATGTTCCAACATGAGTCCGCATGTTCCAACATGGGTCCGCATGTTCCAACATGAGTCCGCATGTTCCAACATGAGTCCGCATGTTCCAACATGGGTCCACATGTTCCAACATGAGTCCACATGTTCCAACATGAGTCCACATGTTCCAACATGGGTCCACATGTTCCAACATGAGTCCACATGTTCCAACATGAGTCCACATGTTCCAACATGGGTCCACATGTTCCAACATGGGTCCACATGTTCCAACATGGGTCCACATGTTCCAACATGAGTCCACATGTTCCAACATGAGTCCACATGTTCCAACATGAGTCCACATGTTCCAACATGGGTCCACATGTTCCAACATGGGTCCACATGTTCCAACATGGGTCCACATGTTCCAACATGAGTCCACATGTTCCAACATGAGTCCACATGTTCCAACATGGGTCCACATGTTCCAACATGGGTCCACATGTTCCAACATGAGTCCACATGTTCCAACATGAGTCCACATGTTCCAACATGGGTCCGCATGTTCCAACATGAGTCCGCATGTTCCAACATGGGTCCACATGTTCCAACATGAGTCCGCATGTTCCAACATGAGTCCGCATGTTCCAACATGAGTCCACATGTTCCAACATGGGTCCGCATGTTCCAACATGGGTCCACATGTTCCAACATGAGTCCACATGTTCCAACATGAGTCCACATGTTCCAACATGGGTCCACATGTTCCAGGTTCTGCTGAAGGGTCAGACTTTAGTCCAGTCAGGACTTTACAGGTTCAGTGTTTGTGTTCATGCAGCTGCAGTGAGGAAGCATCAGGCCTGCAGCCTGGCAGACGACCTTCACGTTGGTTCCTTCAGAGTAGATTCGCTCCAATAGGAAGGACGTCGTCTTGCCTCCTTCCCAGTAAAACAGCCTTTTGAAAATGTCTCCATTCTTCTTCCAAATTTTTAAACTGGCGATGCGCATGCAGCTCAAATCCGACCTCGTATTTAAAATCCCACCTGCAGATACAATAGAAACCTGCTGCAGCTGACTGAGGCCTGTGGTTTCTGTGTTTGCTGAGTCTTGTTCTGTCCCAGCAGAAATGTCCCGGCGCCACCTTGAGCTGCTTCACCGATGAGCTGAGTGTCCTCTGTGAGGAGATGAAGGCCAGCGGCCTCAACCGCACCCAGCAGAACCTCAGCCAGTCCATCTGGAACCTGGCTAAGAAATTTAATGAGGTGAGCAGCAGGAACAACAACAATACTACTATTACTATTACTGTGAGTACTACTACTATTGCTACTATTACTGCTAACAATGAGTGAGACTCGTGTCCATCACACGGACATCCAGACTCTCTGGACGCTCCAGATTCCTCCGTTTGATTTTCTGCACATGAATGTTTGGCTTGTGAAGCTTTACAGACCAACAGTGACCTGGCTCGGCCTGCAGGGGGAGACACTTTGGGTCCTACTGTGCATGAGACGCAGCAGATGATTCAGCATTTGATCAGTCGTTTCCCCTGTTGATGAGACGGTCTAGTAAAAGCATGAAGGTTTCTGCTCTCTGGTTGCAGCCAGACGCTTCCTGCGTCTGGCTCGGTCCAGTATGATCCGGTCCAGTTCGGTCCGATCCGGATGGTTGGGTTAGTTTAGCACCACCAGGGAGGCTTTGGGTCAACGTGAAGAATGACCCCACCAGTCCCGAGTGGGCGACGCAACTCACGATCTCCTCCAGGAGAAACTCGGATCATCGATGCAGAAAGAAGAAACCTGAGAACTGAGCCTGAAAGCCCCGGAGACCCGAAGCTCCCAACAGAACCGGCGACCCAACCAGCTCCTGGTGGAACCGCGGCCCTGGTTCTGCTGACAGTCTGGGAGGACGTTGTGTTTGGGTTCAGGTCGGGTCTCAGACCGAGAGCAGCGCCAGGATCTCATCATCCAGCTCCACCAAAAAGGGGCTCAAGAAGTCAGCCTCTGGCGTCTGCGGCACAACGAAGCAGGAAAAAGAGCAGAGCAGAGGGCTGTGGTGATGCTGCAGGTGATGCTGCAGGTGATGCTGCAGCTTCTTTGCACCTGCTGCATTTTGTTCCAGTGTTGCGACTTTTCTGTATTTGTCGTTGCTGAAAGCGGCTCCTTGCGTCTGGCTCGGTCCAGTCCGATTCGGTCCAGTTCGGTCCGGTTTGTTCCAATCCAATCTGATCTGGTCCGGTTCAGTGCGGGCTGGTTCAGTCTGATCCGGTCCAGTCCAATCCGGTCCGGTCCACCTGTCTCTCTGATCTCTGCAGACTCAGAGCAGGACGTCCTCCAGACTTCACTGGTAGAGGAGGAACCGGTTCAGATTCCTGGACAGAACCGGGCCCAGCTGGACCGCCTCTGTGTTCTCACAGCTTGATGCTGGAAAACAAACTTTGGTCACCAGGACAAAATGTTTCCACATGTTCATTAAAACAGCAAATATTCACAGATTCCCTCCTAAACATCATGAAACAAACTAACATAAAAATAAGACCTGAAAGTTTTTAAAATCTGTTCATTAATTCATTATTATCAATTAATTTAAGAAAAGAAGGTTTTCTGTTCCATTTGTTTAGGATGATGAATACTCTCTCTTGCCCTCATCTGTAACTATGGAAACATCCTGAACTACTGCTGGCTGAGTGGTTCCACCTGCTGGTCGGAGTGTGGAATGACAGGACGGCGAGTCGCTCAGATTGTTGCTTTATGTTCAGAGGCGACTGCAGACCTGATCGATGCGAACTATGAAGCACACTGAGCGTCTGGAGGACGTCTGTTTTCAGTTTGCTCCATTTTCTTCCTGATTGCAGCATTTTTGTGTTGCATTTGCTGCCCGTTTTGCCTGTCAGGCACCGTAAATAATCACAGTTCGGTTGGTCGGAAATTCACTGGGTTTATTGAACCGGCTGGTTCCGGATACAGCAGGAGGATGAACGAATAGCTGATATGTAACTCAGTCACATTTTTTTCAATTTTACTTCAATTTTCACCATCATTCGGGTTGGAATATTTTGCTGTTATGTAAGTTTAGGATTGTTTTTCTGGCTCCTTTCTTGTTTTTCTTTTTGCTTCTCTGTTCAGTGAAACGTTCCCGTCTCTGTTTTCCTTCCCCAGTCGGAGTCGGATTGCCGTCAGTGTGAACTCCACCCGGAGAAGAGCCCTGAAGATTTCCTCTCAGTTCTTCTAAACATTCTTGAAATGATTAATTTTGGAAACTGCTGAGGAGATGCGACCAGGAGCGTCTGCAGAATGAAGCCTGGAGGTCCGTTTTGCTCTGGACGGAGCGGGAACCTGAAGCTTGGAGCCATGGATGTTCTGGCTGGAAGAAGCTCAGCATCTCTCCAGACAGAAAGGCGAAGGTCCTCTGATTTTGACTCTTAGCTGGAGCAGAATCACAGGTGGAGGTTGGATGGAGGTTGGATGGAGGTTGGATGGATGCTAGAAGCTCTGGTTGCTCCGCCCCACCATGTTGTTGATCCGGAGCGACCCGACTCTTCTGCCGGGGGCTGCATGGTTCCTGAGGTGGGTGGGAATGTTGGACAGGCCGACAGTTTCCTGTTTCCTCCACAGCTGGGACGTTAACGGGACACAGAACCTTTGTTTGAGTAGAAATGCTGTTTCTAATAAAGATTGCTTGGCAAGACGTCTGCTGCTGTTCTGTGTGATCAGGACGTTTTCAGATGTTTGATTGAAGTGTGTTGAACCTGGGACTCATCTAAAGGTCTCTGGATCTGAAGGTCCAGGTTTCCAGCAGTACCAGGTTCCCAGACCGGTAAATACTCCTGGATGTAACCCGTAACACACCCTACATCCCCAGCAGTACCCTGCACCCCTGGGTCAATATTTAATATCCTACAAGAAAACCTGCCAGCTGCCTCCACTGCACCGGTTCCTCTGGTTTTCCACGTGTTAAACAAAGCATGACTATGTAGACTAACCAGCCTGCATGTGTTTTATGTCCCTTGGTGGGCCCTGGGGGACCGGGCCCCTTGACCCAGTACCTCAGGGCCGGTGCCAGAACACATTGCGTGTTTCCAGTGAGACTCGCTCATGGTTGACTGCAGTCACTGAATCTGTTCAGTGACTTCAGGGTCAGAACTGTCTGCCTTTTGCAGATGATGTGTCCATCAGTCCAGCTTTCATTGGAGCGACTCGGAGAAAGTCTGGAGCGTCTGGGATAAAAATCAGCACATCTGAGTTCATGACCTTGAGTCGGAAAAGGGCAGAGCCCCTTTTCTGGGTCGGTGACCAGGTCTCAGGCCAAAATACTGAAACTTTATTCACTCCCTGTTACTACAAATAATTACCTCTAAAGAATCTGAAACTCTGAAATACCCAACTAGGAACCAAATAACTACTCTGGAAGGCATCCCATCATCCCTGTGTAGGTGATCCCTAACCCTGTAGTCACATCATTACAATCCAAAGTATCACTCTGCCGACAACAGAGCCAAATATACAATCAGGATTTGTTCTTCCCTGCTCATCCAGGCTGGATCCTCCATCAAGGCTCCACTCTAAATGTTTCTGGTATCTCACGTTGTAACATTTGGCTTGAATAAAGCGGAACTCACAAAAAACACAAGGGGGATCTTGTCCCAGGTAAATAGAGTACAAGTGTTACCAGGTTAATTTGAAATACAACAAATGTTCAACCACTCAGTACGACATTAATAGGTTTTTACCAGAAATTATTTATTCAGAAACCCAAAATTTGAATAGTTAATAAACCTAAATCAACATCAAAACCCACCCAAAATAATGAAGGGTCTGATTCGCCTTGTTCGGGCTGATTCATCAACCACACTTACAAAATAGAAAGTCCCAATAGTCCTGTTCCTTTTTTACATTTTTGTCCATAAAAGAGTCCCATAACTCCAAATCTAACAACGTCCTGGAAGCGTCGCTCCGTATTAATCCCCGTCTTCAATCCCGAAAGAAAAAAATCCAAAACGTCAAAAAAAAAAAAAAAAAAAAACCAAAAAAGATGAGAAAAAGAAGAGTGGTACCACCCAAAAACCCCCAAAAGATAATAAAGTCCAGATCTCACCGGGAGCGTCCCTTTTCCCCCCGGTGGCTTCCTGGCGTCTCCTTCTGCACCGGGCGGCGTTTCCTCGGTGCAAACTCCGGTCCAGGCTCCGGTCCAGGCTCCGGTCCAGGCTCCGGTCCAGGCTCCGGTCCAGGCTTTCGGGCGCGATCTGCGGCGCTGGACGAACCTTAATCGATTTTTTTTTAAATCTTTTTCGTTACTTTTCTTTGATTTAAACAGACAATAAGGCCAAAACTCCCGCTGCACAGATCGACACATGAGCGTCTTTCTTACTGATTGCGCCGCGTCTTCCGGCGGACACGCCCCCTTTTTATCACTAATTCCCACACACCTGGCCCCAACATGATTTACCCAACATCAGGTTTTTAACAGCGGAACTTCGACATTTTTCTTTTAAATAATGAACTCCTCAACTGTTCCACTAGACAGCTTGGAATTTTTAACATTTAATATAGTCACTGAGAAAAACAAACATAGTGGTTATGTTACAACGTTGTCCTCGCAACAAAATCCAGTTTTTATTGTTTTCATTCCGAACTAACGGCTATGACTAACAGCCAGTAATTAGTTGGATCACAAATCTATGGAGCAACCTTCAGAGTTTATGAGCTTCTGGTTTCTGCAGTTGAAGGAAAACTTTTCATGTTTTCATCCTGGCAACATGAAGCCGTTTAAAACTTTATTAGCTCATAAAACACATTAACATTCTCTACGATCCAGCGCTCAGATCCTTTATTTACACCGGGATGATTATTCTGTGAAACATTGTTTCATCTACAGCAGTGGTCCCCAAACTACGGCCCGCGGGCCGGATGTGGCCCGCCTCTACATTTGGTCCGGCCCCCTGAAAAATACCAGAGTATTTTCATATATGTACATTTTTATTTGATAAGTTGGACTTTTGCAGTAAAATGTTCCTTAGTTATGAACTTTATTTATGATTAACAATTGGTTAGTAACTATTTTATACATGCATATAATTGACATATATCAGTTATACATATAACGACATATATGCGTAACATATAACAGACCCCAGAAGGGTGGATGGATGTTGCCTATATGGCAACCCCCATCAAAAAAATCTTAAACCCGCCTCTCTCAAAGAGCGAACGGAATAATGGCGAAAAGATTAGGTAAGAAAAAACTGATTCAGAATGCAGGGCATTTAACCTGCAATGGACAAACGATTATTTTTTGTCCAATGCAAAGAAAAGCTTGTCTGTCTCATCTGTCAAGAGGCGGTGGTGGTATTCAAAGAATACAATCTGCAGAGACACTATGAATCCCATCATAAAGACAAGTATGACAGCTTGCAAGGCCAAATGCGAGCAGACAAACTCTCAAAGCTAAAAAGTGGATTGTTAGCTCAGCAGAATACATTTGTACGCCAAGTTCAGCTGAACCAGTCATCTGTTCGGGCCAGCTTTCGGGTTGCTCAACTGATAGCAAGCAGCGGTAAACCTTTCACTGACGGAGAATTTGTCAAGAAATGCATGAGAGCTGTAGCGGAGGAAGTGTGTCCCGAAAAGAAAGACGTCTTTAATGCCGTGAGTCTATCAGCCAGTACAATCACCAGACGCATTGAAGAAATCGGCGGTAATGTACACACAGCTGCAGCAGAAGGCGAAAGAGTTTGATTTTTTTTCGGTAGCACTGGATGAGAGCACGGACGTGCAGGACACCGCACAGCTGCTCTTTTTTATTACAATCGTTTCACAGGGAAGTTGATGAGCTGCAAACAGCAATGTCTACAAGCTATTGGAACCTACAAAAAGGTTATAAGGAAGGAACACAGGAACTTCGAGAGCCTTCTCCAGACCGCTGTAGTTTTCTTCCTCCTCCCTGTGACCAGGTGTAGTGAGTGCTATCAGAGTGCTCATATGAGCCACAACTAAACTGAACTTGGACCTTTTAAGATTGTGACCAGCACAACAGAAAGTTTATGTTCCATGGACTTTTTTATGTGGAGAACCCAGAGTGTTATTTGGTTATTATTTATTTCATAAATAGTGTTATTTCCTTACTTTTGTTCTCTGAAGAATCCAGAAAAGGTTATTTGATTGTGCTTTCTGAAAAACAATACATTTTTATGTTTAGCACTCTTACAATCATCACACTTTTTCTGTTACAAACTGACCCCGGCCCCCCATCAGAGAAGGGACGAGTTATGTGGCCCTCACAGGAGACAGTTTGAGGACCCCTGTGACATAACAACAACCATAAACTGACTGAGAAGCAGCAGCTCCACCTGCTCCACATGGTCAACAGATGCTGATCGCAGCTTCAAGTTCTGCTCTTTTGAATCCATATTTGGTAAATTCAGACACCAGAAACCTTCAGGATTTCCACTGACGATCTGAGGAAACCGAGAAAAGCTTTGTTTTATTTGGGTTAATTTTCTTCATTCTGGTTCTTTTTCCAAACCTGTGGTTAGCAGTTTTGTAGTTATGCTAATCTGCTAATGTGTTAATATGCTAATGTGTTAATCTGCTAATGTGCTAATGGGTAAATGACCCTTTTTTGCTCAGCATTTAGTTTATGCTAACTTTGAAAACCATTAGTGCACTTAGCTCAAGATTTCTGAGATAAATTCTAAAGCGCTAATTACTTGAGTGTTTTGTAAACTTTCAGTTGAATAAAATGTAACATCTGTGTTGAGGTTTTGGTCATAGTTTTATTTGCAACATAATATCTAACAATGTATTGTTTATTCTATGATGCATGACTGTGTTTATGATGTACAGCGCTATGGAACTAAATAGCAAATGATTGATTGATTGATAGTGTTATGAATGATTTAAATAGATATTCATAGTGTCGTGGAAAAAACATTTTTCAAGCTCTGTTCAGGTAAAATCACTCAATCAGGTTTATTCATGAATTGTGCACCATGCAGAGAGCTGATAAGATGATCAATAATCCAGCCAGTCTGGATGTAAAGCATGAGTTTTATACAAAGATAAAGGATCCAAAGCATGAGAAACGGTCTGGTTCTGATGCAGCTGTGGGAAACAACTCCCAGCCTTGAACATGTAGCCCAGACAGCTTGAACATGTGGGATCATAGAAGAACCTAAGAACTTAGAATAAACACACAGAACAATGTGACCAGTCAGTGTTATAGATGAGACCCCACTGGGCGCTGCAGGTCTGCAAGACAGCGCTCAGGGAAAACTTAACCAAGATCCACTGGCTGATTAGAATGAAATTCATTTGAAATGATGATTTTCACATTTTTCACATTTTACTCCCAGGCAGAGAAACAGCTGAAGCTCTGAACTCAAAATGGAGAAACAGAATAAATTGTTTCTCTGTTTGAGCCTCAGAGTTTATTCTGAGCCAAATCAATTAACTTTGAGTGAAACTTAAAGCAAACTTCAGAATATTTTAAAGTTAAAAAAACTTCAAAAACATAAAGGTTAAAGAGGAACTTTATTCATAGACTATATATTTTGCAACAACAAAAACAAATCTTCAAATAAGATCTGAATATGACAAAAATGTTGCTCGGATGGAAACGTGTCGCCATGGAGACCGCAGCGTCATCCCGCTGCACGTTCAGGTAAAAAGTGATTCATCTGAACAGATTCATCTGAAGCGATTCACCTGCAAACAGCCACAGAACCGGCAACACGCGTGGATCTGAACCGATCAGCGCTTCGGTTGGAGTTGGAGGTGAAATGATGAGCAGAAGCACAAAAACATCAGTTTGAAAGCAGAAAGTCAACCGGAAGTAGGTCAGGTCTGAGACGTGACCGGAACGTGACCCGGTCCAGCTCAGTCATAGATCTGGACTCAGTCAACTGCAGTCCAACCAGCTGAGGTCAGAGTTCAGTCCAGTCCGTGTGTGTGTGTGTGTGTGTGTGTGTGTGTGTGTGTGTGTGCGTGTGTGTGCGTGCGTGCGTGTGTGTGTGTGTGTGTGTGTGGACCCGCTGGTCCAGGCAGCTGCGGGCCTCATGGTTCCGGAGCAGAACCGGACCAGAACCCGTCCCTCCGCTCCATCAGCTCTCGGGTTTGTCCTTGTTGGGCCCCATGAACTCCACCCCGTCGATCGGGATGTCCTTCTCCTTGATGGCCTTCTGCACGCAGCGCTGGTACTTCCGGAAGGTCTCGGTGCACGGGTCCCCGCTCCGGTCCCCCTTCAGGAAGTGCTCCGCGAACCAGCGGTTGAAGCACTGGTCGTACTCCCGCTTCAGCTCCGTACAAGCCTCCCCGACGCTGTTCATGTCCGGGAATCCGGGCAGAAAACGCCGCAGAGAGGAGATTAAACCGGGGCCGGGATTTACTGTTCCTCCAGGATCCTCCAACAGCCACACCGACTGTCTCTGAAAGCGGATCACGATTGGCTGCGTTCACACAAACGTAACCTAGCGTGGGCACGTCGCGACGTAACAGAGATTTGTGTGGAGAGAGACCACTCGGATCGAGAAATGCTTTTCTTAGGTTTCCTAGTAGCGTTGTTGTGGTATTTATGATACAGAACTTTTATTTTTTTAATTCATACATTTTTTGAATTTTCTCGTTGTTATTGCGGCAGATATTTCACTTTAACGAATGAAGCGTTCCCATCTGTTTGTTATTTTTTCCTCATATATTAATTTCTTTTTTAGGTCAGATAACAATGAGACGTTCATCCTTGCAGAAACAAAATTAAGCATTTATAACAGGAACATGGAAGAAATGCTAACATTTTTAGTGCGTTTATATCTATAAAAATATTCTTAAGTGGATTTAGAAAAGGAACCACCGTGACCATGTAGCCTCAAGTTTAAGACCTCTGAAATAAATTGTTGGTTTAAACATTTTCATAATCGTTTCTTTGGTACATATTAAAAAATAGCAGAGTGAAACCTCTGTATTTGTTTAACTATCATCAATCCAAAACTCGCGATAATTGTAGAGCTTTCTGAAGTCTCGCGGCTCTCACGTAAAACCTCACTCGTCAAGAGATTAAAATTCTCGATAATTTCCATTATTCATCTTTTAGCGGAATAAACTCGGAAGCAGAGGATAGAAAAAGGTGAGAAGAAGAGATAAAGGGGAGAAAATGGAGGCTAGCTGTTCATACGGGGCTTGTTTTTGTCATGCTAACTACATTAGCATGCTTTGTTAGCTTAGCTTCAGCTCGAGTCTTGTGTTTTTCAGCGGGAGTTCGGCCCGGTTTGGATGTTTATTGGTGCTTTCTGTCCTGTAACTGATCCAGAGGTGCAACAGGATGTCCGACAGCGAGGACAGCGACTTTTCTGACAACCAGAGCGAGCGGAGCAGCGATGGGGAGGCCGAGGAGGTGGATGAGAACGAGGTGAGCTGCTTGTGATGGAGAGAGGGGTGGAAAACTCACAGATTCACCCAAAAGCCCGTCAGTCTCAAAGGTCCACAACTCTAAACACGTCCCCAGATAGCAGGTCGCTGTAAACCTTCCTATGCAGACACTGGTTCACCAGAACGGGTCCAGTAGGAGCAATAATTACTTCACATGTTTATACTGATCATAACATGAGGCTTACTGCTCTACAGAGATTTAGTCAGACAAAAGTACAAATTGTGGTGTTTTAACGACTAAAATCACAATTAATACCATAATTGCAAAAATTTTTCCAAATCCAATTTTCAAATAAAACGTTAAGAGTCTGTGTGGAAAAGTGCTTCAGGTCACAATTTATATGGTTTATTTTTGACAACAGACCTGGTGTATTAACAAGAGGTCTCACTTCAACATAAACTCCCTTTGTCTGCTGTGTAAACGTGGTTCTTTATTCAGTAAAGTTATTTAGAAAGTAATAGTGCTCAATAGTAAAAGTCAAAAGCTTGGTGCTCCTAGAAGTAGGAGTAACATCTTTTGAGAAAGAAACAAACTTAAAGGTGAGAAATTACTACCTGCTTATTATTGTACTTGAACCAATCTCAGTTTTATCTGCAGTCAACGTTTTAAAGTCCAAAAATAATTTTCAGAAGTTTTCAAAAATAATTAATAGTTCAGTGTTGAATGAAGTAATAGAAAAGAGAATATGGCATATTTAGATTTTAAATATGGCAGCTTTATTATTGTTATCGTTTTCTCTTTTAATTTTTCTGCAGTCTGTAAATAAATAGTTTATTTCCTGTGGCGGTTCCTCTGATGGTGTTAAAGTTTGTTTTGTCTGAGATCTTCACGTTGCGCTCACTGAGGCCGGGTTCGTTTCCTGCAGGAGGAGCCAGCCAGCCCTGTAGGCAGCGATAAAGTGGCTGATGAGGAGGGGGAGGACCTGGATGACGATGAGGAGGAGTATGATGAAGAGGAGGATGAGGAAGACGACGACCGGCCGAGGAAGAAGCCAAAACACGGAGGGTTCATCCTGGATGAAGCCGGTGCGAGGAGGCGACTCTTCTTCCTCCGCTGTTGTATTGTTGGAGAGTGGGCGGAGCTTTAACACACACCTGTTCCTCCGTGTGTTTGTGCAGATGTGGACGATGAAGATGAGGATGAGGATCGGTGGTCTGAGGGAGGAGAGGACATTCTGGAGAAAGGTGAGAGAAAAAACACAGCGAAGGCTGGAAACCACGCAGAAGCTGCTCTGCCCCTCAGACAAGCTGATGATGAAATCAGCGTTAAGTGAACTCATCTTGGTTTTAAACCCGTTTCTTATGGAAATAATCCAACTGCGGTTTGGATAAAGTAGAACTGTAATGTTTTGGTCTGATTCCTGCTTAGCGCAGCGCATCATTCCCTTTTTCTGATCTGATCTGCTTCTGAGAAACGTTCACTTTGGTGCCGTCTCTTTAAGCCCCTCCCCCTGCAGGTCGTGACCCTGTAGGTCGCACAGTGTTGCTCTCTGCACCTTTAGGCCATTTCTGTAGTTTGATAGCAGACATTTTATTGTCTAGTTGAGCAGAAATTGGTTGAAAGTCGTCTGTCCAGTCTGACATGTTGCAGAGCGCCGTCACAGTGTAAACAAAGCCTCAACGTCGCTTTGTTAGCTAATGCTAGCAACAGTAACACCACTGAATGCATGTGGATCATTTATTCCTCAAGACCAAACTGTTCCTCTAACAACTCAAAATACGGTTCTCCAGGTGCTAACCTCTAGCATACAGTGCTAACACTAGCAGGAAGCACGATGCTACTGCTAGCACAACAGCAGCCAGGACTTCATACCAACACACAATAAATACACGTCTGGAATACAGTGTGTTGTTAGCATGTAGTTTAGCGCTTTGCCTTGTCTGATGTTTATACACACAACAGGAAATGACTCTTCAAAATAAAATGTACAATGTCTTGATGCTGCAGACGACCCAGTGCTGTAACTGATCCAGTTAAGATGGTACATACTGTGATAAAGAGTCCAAAACGTAACGGGGAATAGAGAAACCATACATGATAGAGAAACACAACCAAACAGAATATTAAGAAATCCACAATAACATAAACGTCTGTGCTCTGTTAGAGACTCGGAGCGCAAAACAAAACGATCCAGGGCTAAAAAATGGATTTTATAAGGAAAGTTTTCTTTACTGGAGCAACATGGGGGTCAAATGTCTACAGCAATGTTGCTCTGTGGGAATGTGTGTGTGTGGCTCTGTGTGTGTGTGGCTCTGTGTGTGTGTGTGTGTGTGTGTGTGTGTGTGTGTGTGTGTGTGTGTGGCTCTGTGTGTGTGTGGCTGCGTGTGTGTGTGTGTGTGTGGCTCTGTGTGTGTGTGTGGCTCTGTGTGTGTGTGGCTCTGTGTGTGTGTGTGCTCAGTGTCTCCTGACCTCTAACTGACCTCTCTCTGTCCTGCGGCGGCCATTGCTGACTCCAGCCAACGGTAAAGCTGTTGCTCTTGTTGTCACTGACTCCCATTAGAAGTGAATGGATCATTACTGTCATCCTTTTATTAACCCTCCGCCCCCCATCACCTCATCCCAGCACAGCTGCGCCTGTCATTACACACTCAGGGAAAAATCAGGCTGCACCTGTGTGAGAGCAGCTCTTCTTCTATGGTTTTTAGTCTTGGAGGACCAGCTGCTTCTCTTTCAGACTAACTCGTCCATCGGACCTGAAGACATTTTAACCATTTCTGCTGTTTGACTTTAATGAGCAACGTACAGCAATCAGCCACAACATTATGACCATCAGTCAGGTTCTGATAAACACGATGATCTCTTTATTTCATGCACACATGTCTGCTGCATCATGAACATCCAACAGAGAAAATATGAACATGATGTTCCTAATGCTGAGGCTGAGAGAAGCTGATATCTCCAGATTTCTCGCTGCTGTAACTTCTGCAGCTCCTCGTCTCGTCGTGCTGCGGTTCAGAGCAGCAGGTGGAACCGGGTCCTCTGGAGCCCCTGCAGCTCCTCTGCCTGTCGGTTTCTTTACGGTCGGTTCAGCAGAAGCCTGGTTCTGGTCGGCTGAACCTCCATGCCGGTTCTTCAGGCCTGGTCCTGCAGCCTGAGGTTCTGATCCGGGCGACTCAGCTTCATAAACTCATCATTAATGGGGTTTCCTCTCATCGTGCTTCTCGTGTCGTGCTTCCTGCCTCCATCACTGTTTCTGCTGATCACTTCCTGTTTGCTGACTCGTCTCTGTTCTTCCTCCTCTTCCTCGCTGGCGGATCCTGAGCAGAAGAGGCTGAAGGTCAGTTTCTCTCATCTCAGACATTATTGACTCCATGTTTTGGTTCTAATAAAAAATGAAACGTTCTCCTCTTCCACCAGCTTCCAACCTGGACCACGTGGTTCTGGATGAAGACCACTCCGGATCCAGGCGGCTGCAGAACCTCTGGAGGTAGAACCTGTGAAGAGATAAAATGATCTTCAATAAGTACACAAAAGGATCATTTCATTTGATTAGGGGAAAGTAATCAGCTCTGTCAAGAATTAACTGCCATTAAACTACATTTAAAAGCCGAACATGCAGATAAAATTAATAATTTAAAGAAAATTGTTCTGATTGGCTTAAAATGCATTAAATTAATCTAGAAAAATTCAAAATCAGCAGAAAAACCACGACTGGAAGGCAGTTGAGTTTAGCAGTGAATACTTTTCCCAGAAGGCTTGTTCTGTTTGTGCAACGTTTCGTTTCGCTGCAGGAGAGCAGTGTGTGAACAGCAGTGTGTGAACAGCAGTGTGTGTGAACAGCAGTGTGTGTGAACAGCAGTGTGTGTGAACAGCAGTGTGTGTGAACAGCAGTGTGTGTGAACAGCAGTGTGTGAACAGCATGTGTGTGAACAGCAGTGTGTGAACAGCAGTGTGTGAACAGCAGTGTGTGTGAACAGCAGTGTGTGTGAACAGCAGTGTGTGAACAGCAGTGTGTGTGAACAGCAGTGTGTGTGAACAGCAGTGTGTGTGAACAGCAGTGTGTGTGAACTTTCCTCAGAGCCGCGGCTGACACACTGTTTGTGTTTCAGGGACTCCAGGGAGGAGGCGCTGGGGGAATACTACATGAGGAAATACGCCAAGTCCTCCGTGGGAGAGCAGTG